ATTCTCATTCCCGTTTCCAGTCCCGTTCCGCCATTCCCGTTCCCGTTCCCATCCACATTCCCATCCCCTTTTTCGTTCCCGTTCCTGTTCCCATTTGTTCCGATTCCCGTGCCCATTCCCATTCCCGTTTTTCCGTTCCCATTTCCGTCGTTTCCTGCTTCCTTTCCGCCCATTCAAATTCCCACTCATTCCCGCTGTCGGCAGAAATATCAGTTTTTCTGCACGCCACCAGCTGTGCGAGACGCGCATGGCAGGATCGTTGATTGAGAGGTTTGGCTCGAGCCGGTGGAAGGCCACTGATGCCATCTCGACATGCTCCACCTTGATTTGCACAGTGGGCACCAACATGCCCAAGAGCCAAACGAGCCCCTGTTCCTGGACTGCAGAAATGCGTTTGTATTGCTTCAAGACATGCTTGCTCGGCGGCTAGGCTGCAATCATGTGCCAAACAGCCACTTGCTACAGTGGCAGGACTAGATCTGCTGACACTCAGGGACAATCTTAAGTCCGGGTTCCACCCAGTTTATCAAAAAGAGAGATTCTTTTTGGCAGCAACACCCTGCGACCTTGAGAATGCCGTTTTCAGCGTGCAACACGTCGACGCATGACTGTGGGCGCGTCTCGATCTCCACAGTTTGGATCATCTGGCGCAGAGGTTGGACAAATAAGACCTTCCATTGGGCCTGTAAAATGGTTCTACTAAAAAATATCCTTTTTGTATGCTCAATGGCGACTAGCTCAGGTGCGGGGGTTGCCCTGATGCTTGCCATTTGCGTACTGTCAACTTCACACTGCGGTCGCAAAAACTCTGGCATGCGGATGTGCAAGGCTGCCTTGTGAGGCAGCCTTGCACCGTTTTGCCTTCAACCAAGCCTGGGACTAAATTGATTTGGATGCAGCGCTCGGCACCAACAACGCCTCATGTTTTTTGCCCATAACTCCTTCAATGCGTGCCACGCAGTGGGAGCATTGACGTCAGTGGCTGGAGTCGCATCCGCGATCGGAGGTGGCGTTTTGCACGTCGCAAGCAAAAACAGGTTTGGTCCGGCAGGCTTGGGCCTGATTTGACAGGGCGCTTCTCGAATGGCGTTGCAATGACTCTTCAAGTGGTGTTGCAGCCGAGCCTGGCTGTGGCTAGAGTTGTGTGAAGTCCCAGCTGCGCTATGGTGAAGCTAGGCTTTGTGGAGCCTACCGGCCAAGCAGTTGTCATCAGCGCTCGCGCGCTTGATCACCCCTTGAAGAGCAAACAGGTTTGCCTTGCCATTGACAAGCTGCTTGGAACAAAGTCTGTGTTGGCTTCCAGGAGGAGCGTTCGATGGCATCATGTAGGGCAGGCTTCGGTGTAGGACCCAAAACAAAAAGACACGTGCGTTTCGCGTGGTTTGAAGTTTGCTTTCGCTTCGATGTATCTTTGAAGCTAAGTCCGTAGTAAGACAACTGGCACTAAAGATTTGTATTGCTCCGGCTGAGCAACTGATAGTGTTCAGAGCCCCGAAGCCCGGTTCCGAAGACGGGAAGCTTGCTGTTTTGTGCCGAACGAGTTTCAGGGATTGAGAACAGCTCCAAATTTGCAGTGCCCAGCCCGAGCACTGGATAATTCTGGCGCTCATTTCTGCACGTTGCATTTAACATCATGGGCTCCTCCTGCTCTGAATGTGTTTCTGGCCTGAGCAAGCAATAAGCTCAGAAGAGGAGCAGGTCTGTGAGAAACAAGATGAAGGCGTCAAGGAAAGGACTATCACAGATGTTGAAGCCCTTGAAGCCGTTGGACAGATCCGCCTTGGTTGTGCCCAAAACTATGTGGAAATTTAAAACTTGAGACTGCTGCAGAGGTTTCCAGACGCAGCGTTGCTGGCTTGCGGATGTGCTCACACGAGCACCCTTTGAATTGGATGCACCGCTCTGCGGCACCAAAAACACCTCATGTGTTTTGCCCATAACGCCTTCCAGGCGTACCAGGCATTGGGAGCCAATTCTCGGACGCAGTCCAGTCTTCAGTAGCTGGAGTCGGGAACGAAGTTTGTGTTGGCTTCCAGGAGTAGCATTCGATGGCATGACGATGACGATGTTGCCTTGAGTTGAGCAAAGCACGGAGCTGTTGGAGCCGTTGTTGGACTGAGCCAGCTTGGCTGTACCTAGAGCTCTGTGGCAATTTGAAACTTGAGACTGCTGCCGTGGTTGGCAGACGCATTGCTGGCTTGTGCGTGTGCTCACACGAGCACCTTAATATGTAGCTGGAGGCGCATTAAGGGCTCGCAAGGGGCGGAACTTCACAAGAAAAAAAACAGGCTTGGGCCTGATTTGACAGGGCGGCGCTTCTCGAATGGCGTTGCAATGACTCTGCAAGAGCCGAGCCTGGCTGTGGCTAGAGTTGTGTGAAGTCCCAGCTGAGATATGGTGAAGCTAGGCTTTGTGGAGCCTACCGGCCAAGCAGTTGTCATCAGCGCTCGCGCGCTTGATCACCCCTTGAAGAGCAAACAGGTTTGCCTTGACATTGACAAGCTGCTTGGAACGAAGTCTGTGTTGGCTTCCAGGAGGAGCGTTCGATGGCATGTAGGGCAGGCTTCGGTGTAGGACCCAAAACAAAAAGACACGTGCGTTTCGCGTGGTTTGAAGTTTTCGCTTCGATGTATCTTTGAAGCTAAGTCCGTAAGACAACTGGCACTAAAGATTTGCTCCGGCTGAGCAACTGATAGTGTTCAGAGCCCCGAAGCCCGGTTCCGAAGACGGGAAGCTTGCTGTTTTGTGCCGAACGAGTTTCAGGGATTGAGAACAGCTCCAAATTTGCAGTGCCCAGCCCGAGCACTGGATAATTCTGGCGCTCATTTCTGCACGTTGCATTTAACATCATGGGCTCCTCCTGCTCTGAATGTGTTTCTGGCCTGAGCAAGAAGAGCCCGTCATAAGGATGATGTTGCCTTGAGCAAACCACAAAGCCATTGGAGCCGTGGGAGCTGTTGGACCAATCTGCCTTGGTCGCGCCCAAAACTTTGCATGTGCTCACATCCCAGCCTTGCGCCAATGCCGGCCGCATCTTTCCAGCTCTCTTGGTCTGTCTAGCATTTGCTTCAGGGGTCGAGGTAGCCTGCAAGAGCTTGCTCATTTGGTAGGCTTGGTAAAGCCATATCGCGTCTGAACCGCGCAGGAGGCGTGCTTGACGCGACGAAGGCCGGCGCCATGTTGCATTGAGAGCGCGCAGCTGTGCTGAGCCAGCTGTGCGCAGAACTTCGTGCTCAGCTTCCAACTGCTGTGAGTGACAGACGCAGTGTAGTTGTCTCAGGTGTGGTCCCATATTGAATGAAGCGATTACTTCTGTTTGCCCAATAGCAAATCTTTGTATCTGCAGACAGATGTTTTGTTTCTAGTTGAGAGAAGTTCTCTTTGGTCATCGATTTTGGCGGATGGCTACGAATGGCATTGTATTATTTTCAATTCTTTTGAACGCTGCCATGTTCGAGTTGCTTTTGACCCGAACTATTTTTGACCAGAAAGTGGTGTTGAAGCCAACCTGGCCGTGGCCAGAGGTTTGTGAGACTCATGCCACTCCTTGCACGCTTCAGCCTCTACCAAGGTCTTTCAGAGGCGCTTTGAGCCGTGACCCCGGCTGCTTGAAATGAGGTTTGTGGCTTCCAAGAGTGGCAGTTGGCATCACGGGGAGGATGTTGCCTTGAGTTGAGCAAAGCAAACAGCCGCTGGAGCCGCTGGAGTTGCTGGAGCCATGGGATCGATCCAGCTTGGCCGTGCCCGGAGCGCAAGTCGCAACTTCAGAGACTGCTGTGGCTGGCGCACGTCTGGCTCGCCCACGGCCAGACTCCGCTGATTGATCCGCTCGTTTGGGGCAGCCCGGAGCTTCGGCTTGAGGCTGTTGCTGTGCTCGGCAGATGCGGCACTGCTGGCAGTACTGGCTGACCGCATGTGCTCACATCTGCTGATTTGGATGCATCACGCGGCGCTTCATTTTCGTTTAGCCCATGTGCTTTCAAGGAGTGCCACGCGTTGGGAGCCAATTCTCGGACACAATCTTAGTCGAGCATTTACTTCAGAAGCTGGAGTCGCATCCAGGGCTCGCAACAGATTGCGCTTTGCGGAACTTCGCAAGCAGCAACACTTGAATTGACATGACGCGGACGCTGCTCGGATAGCAGTGCATTGCAATGCGTATTTGAACAGGAAGTGGCGTTGAAGCCAACCGACCTGGCGGTGTCCAGAAGTCTGAAGCTAATCTTTTTGGTGCCAAGAAGCTTGCAAGGCTGAGTTTCATCTCAGCGGCACGAGGAGGATGTTGCTTTGAGTTAAACAAAGCAGGGAGCAGTGCGCGACGTGGGACCGATCCAGCTTGGCTGTGCGCAGAACTTTGTCCTACGCTGCAGCTTGAGACTGCTGTGCTTGGCAGATGCAAAGCTGCTGGCCGCACTGCTGGCTTGCCAGTGTGCTCACACCCTTTTATGCCTTGCCTTCCAATGCCGGCAGTGCCACATCTTGCCACCACTCTAGAGTTCAAAGAGGTGGCCATGTGTCATAACCTATGCCTCCATTTTGGGGCGGATGAACACCCATGTACCACCTATGTTGACCAGGGGTACAGGGTTTTGACCCACAGACAGGTTGATCTTTTTGCCGAAAGCTGGCATTTCGTCTGAACCGCGCAGGAGGCGTGCTTGACGCGAGGAAGGCCGGCGCCATGTCGCCTTGAGAGAGCGCAGCTGTGCCGAGCCAGCTGTGCGCAGAACTTCGTTCTCAGCTTCCAACTGTGAGTGACAGACGCAGTGTAGTTGCTCCAGGTGTGAAGCAAGCGATTGCTTCTGCTTGCCCAATATGAAAGCTTTGCACCTTCGGACACCGGACAGATGTTTTACAGCTAGTTGTTAGTCATTCTCTTTGTTTCTGACTTTTGGCGGATGGCTACGAATGTCCCTATATCTCCAATTGTTGTTTGAGTGCTGCCATGATTGAGTTGCTTTCTGGCCTATGCATGCGGGCGCTTGAATTCAATCTGACACATGTGGCAGCGCTCGCCAACCCGACTGACTATGGACCCGAAGACGGGCTGCGAGACGGACGAGCAAGCTGTGCGGGTGCAGGGCCTGTCTGGAGACTTCTGCAGTCCCAAGTGCGATAGCCAGGGAAGCTGCAGCGACGTGACGGTCGACAAGGCCACTCCATCTGAAGATGCAGGCGTTGCACAGCATCAGAACTTGCTTGCGCGCAGGCGCAGGCAGGGCTCGTTTCCGAGCAAGGCCGCTGCTTGGATCTCCTGCGCAGGAAGACATTCAACTTGGGCAAGCTTCGGCATGCGACCCGCAATTTGGACTCGCGTGCCAGCCAGAATTCTTCGCAAGGAAACTGTAAGCTGGAAGGTCTCGCGAGGGATGTGCCGTTGGCCCTCACGATCCCTCTTCGGACCCCGAAATGTGCTCAGCCGCTGTGAGCCACGGATGCGCGGGAAGTGCGTTTCATACTGGCAAGGACATGTGGCATAACGCGTGGATCTCATCATCATGGAGCTAGGCTTTGTGGAGCGTGCCAGCCAAGCAGTTGTCAAGGCCGAGGCTCATTTCAGCGCTTGAGCGCTTAAGCATGTTGTTTGTTCTTCAAGGGCTTGTTACCTTGACATTGGCCGCTTGGAACCAAGTTTGTGTTGGCTTCCAGGAGTACAATTAGATGGCATCACCACGAGGATGTTGCTTTGAGTTGAGCAAAGCACTATCCGTTGGAAGCAGTTAGTTTGGCCGTGCCCAGAACAACCTTTGACGAGACATGTCTTGCAACGGAATGTGGTTTTGAAGCCAACCAACCTGACTGTGGCTAGAGGTTTGTGAAGCATTTTGTGGAGCTTGGCAGCCAACCAGCTTGCAAGGATGAGACTCATCTCAGTACTCGCGCACTTCAGCGTCTACCATGCTCTTGCAGGGCTTTCTGCCGTGACATTCAGCGCTTGGAATGAGGGTTTAGCCTGGCTTCCAGGAGTAGCATTTGATGGCATCACGGGGAGGATGTTGCCTTGAGTTGAGCAAAGCAATCTTCGACAAGACATATCTTGGACCGGAAAGGTTGAACCTGACTGTGGCTAGAGCTTTGTGAAGTTCTAACGTGTGGAGCCTGCCAGCCAAACAACGTGTGCAAGAACGAGACTCATCTCAATCCTTGCGCACTTCAGCCTCCACCAAGCTCTTCAAGGGCTTTGAGCCGTGACATTGGCTGCCTGAAATGAGGTTTGTGGCGTCCAGGAGTAGCAGTTGGCACGTGGAGGATGCTGCCTTGAGTTGAGCAAAGCACGTTGAGCCGTTGAATCCATTGGACTGCTCAGCGCCCAGAGCTTTGTGGCAGCAGCTTGAGACTGCTGGCAGACGCGGGTACTTATGCCAGACTCCGCTCATTGATCCAGTCTTTGCCATTTCCTGCGCGCCGTTCAAGGCTCTGTTTGAACAACTGTCACTCATGCCAGCTGTTTTTGTTGTCCCTCCAGGTGCTCATGGGCATCCCCATGAGTAAACTAAGGGCCCGCGTTGATCTCCCCCGCCGGACATGCCACAAGCGGCTGCGAAGGCTGGCCAGATGCTGTCTGACGTCCAAGTCGGCTGGGTGTTGTAGTCGTAGCTGATGGATGCGCACAGATTCTATTCAGATGCCAAGGATTCATATTCAGATGCCAAGGATACTTACATGTCATATTCAGATGCCCTTAGGGCATGCACAATTGTCTTCCTACTGTCCGGACGGCTATGCCGGAGCGACTGGCAGCTGTCGAAACATTCATGTCCGTGTGTTTTTTGTGGAGTAAAGTTTGATTGGGGCCAAGTTTGATAGGCAAGAGTGCTGCTCGTTTCGGCGCGGGGCAAAGGTTGTGGAGGCCTTTCATGGACCAATGGCCCGTTCTTTTTTCTGGGGGGAAGACACAAGGCATGGTGAAATGCCAAGTTTGTTTCGCATCACAAGGCATGGTCAAATGCCAAGTTTGCCTTGCAGATTTTGTTTTTTTTGTTTTTCTCTCTCTCTCTCTCTCTCTTTTTGGGGGCCAACCAAAAAACAGGAGGTATGGCCTCAGCCGGTGAGGCTAGGGGAAGGTGCTTGACAGATGTCTCGATGAAATCGACTGTGGCGGTGTCGAGTTCTTTGGGCTCATGCGAAACACTGGTAGCATCAAAACGACTCGCTTGGCAAAGGCCACCCTTGTTTTTTTGGCTTGCGTTTGGCGTCCTCAATACGCGTCATATTTTGGGAAGGCGCTCGTTCTCGAGGAGCATGTTCTGCTTTCTGGCGCGTGGTTGATGAAATTGGCACCATGGCTCGGATATTTCACTGGAAGAGCAAGTCAGCCGTCGAGCGCGCCAGTGAGTCACATGGCAGTTTGAGAAGCGATCCTCCCCGACAGGCCGAAAACTGCCCCTGTTGGGTTGTTGCGGTCTCATGTTGCCTTCTGTGCAGCGGGGCTAGGGTTCGAACGGCCGCAGTCCGCCCCAAAGTGGCCAGAAGAGGTTGGTCCGTTTGCCGGGGATGATCATTTTACCACGAAGACAAGAGGACATGACTTTTCGCACAGTTTGCGTGGGACTGCTGAGGTTGGCGGAAGGGTTTGCCTCACGGAAGCTACATGAACATTTGCGCCATTGTTTTTGTAGAAGGTTGTCCATGTCACAAGAAGCGCAAGTTGCTCTCCCCGGTTGGAAGGGACTTAGGGATTGGGAGATTCGTTGCGACGCGCACGCGGGTCTTCAAGGTGGCCAGCAAAAATCTCAGCCTCCAGCCACCTTTTGAAGCTGTCGGCACAAGCTGCTTCCTCATTTCATTATGACACCCTGTATGCCTTGGCAACAGTTCTAGCAACAACATGCCCGCAGAAGCAACGGCTCGCGGATGGGTTGGCGGAAGGTTGAATAATGCCGTATGATAAATGAGAAAATCAAAACAACATCCATGTGTGCGCATTGCGGCAGTTGGTTGCTTTGATATCGTTGATCGCCCCAGCTCAATCAGGCCATCCTTGCTGGGTGCTGGACTGCGAAGCAGCCAGCTCTTGCAAGTGGGCAGACAATTTTCGAGACGCGCGGGGCGCGGGGTGAGTGGATTCAGTGGCCACGCGGTCTGCAACAGACAGCATGACACCATGCCGACATTCTCATCCAACTTCAAAGGCACGGAACGGAAGCAGATTGACACGAGCCTTTCGTGACCGGGATGTGACCATGTCGCGCATGAGGCCCGGAGGGTGTGCTCTATGCATGTAACAACCACAGGTGGGGTCATTTCTAGGTGCAAAACGCGGGTGCCAATCTTCAGTTCTGAAGCGAGCTTCCTTTTGGTATTGTTTGCAACACAGAAAGGGACACTTTCTAAATGGAGTAAAGTGGCAAGGGGCATGATTCAAGGGCCTGTTTTGCACGTTGCACGCTAGGCGGCTGGTGTTTCCAGCACTTTGCCTGCAGGCGCAACTCCGGAGTTGCGGGCTTTGGGCTTTGGGGGTGGCTTGGGTTCCTTGGTTGTTCAGTTGGAGAACTTGGATTGAGTGTTAAAAGAAGGCGTGTGGGCTTCGGACGAAGACTTTCATGCATACCCCGCAGGGTTGAGGGCTCGTTTGGGGCATGGATATCCCACTTTCGCACAGCAAGAGTTCTGGTCCAAGCCTGGACCAAAACGCCTCTTGCGAGGAACATCTCTAACCCCGCACAAATCACCGCCTCAGGTGGCCAACACGCTGCCCATGGCCCGCAAGGAGCCATTTCAGGCGCGGAAGAAGCGAGAGAGGTTTCTTTCATGCCGCCAAAGAACGGTTTGGACCGCTTCGTCTCCACATGGGGAGTTTTAGAGGCTTTACTGGAAGCGAATCCAAAAGGATAATGTGGGGGAGTGCTTGGTAAAGGCGCCCCCCAAACAGGGTCAATAGGGAAAAACCCAACAACACATTTTGGGACAGAGTTGGGCCTACTCGAGCAGTCCCGCAGTAAGTACTGCTTGGTACCGGTTTTGTTTTCGTATTGCTTTAGTATTGCTTTGTGCTCGTCCAGTACTGCTACGTACTGGTTTTGGAATTGTTGTAGTATTGCTGCAATCTTATTGCAATTGGTTTGTGCTTGTGCAGTACTGTGTATTTCCTGCCTCATCTCCTGCCTTTGGGAATCAATTGAGCCACAATCAAAGCCCGGGTAAGTGTAGGTTAGTAAGGGACAGTCCCAGCCATAAATAGTTGCGGCCGCCTTCCATTCTTGAAGCATGGTTCTGGGCTTGGACCATTTTAATACCGATGGGTTTTGATTGTCGCTCAATCCATGTCCTGGCCCATGTCCTGCCTCTGGGAATCGATTCCGTGTACCCACCAACTAGCATGGGTTTGTGCAAAAAGGCCTAACCCAGAGGAGTCTGTCGTCTTACAGGGCTCTGCGCAGCAAGCCATGTTTGCTGGGTAAGGACTTTCGAACTTTCGCTCCCCATTTGGCCATGGGTCAAATCCAATTCCTACCCCCCAGTGAAGCTCCGATTCAATCCGACCAAAATCGGAAGCCCAAAATGGGCGAGTTGAGTCCGCCGAGCCCAACCAAAAACCGAACATGGGATCTGCGCCGAACATGGGATCCCATTGGTCTGCCATGGGATCCCATTTGAGAGCCACTGGAGGGCGCGAGCACCGGTCCGAAGCCGATAGGCGAGTATCACCAGCCGCGGGGCAGTGGACGGCGGCGAGGCGCCTCACTGAAAGACCCCAGCTATATCCGAGGGGGCCAATTGAACAGTTTTTTTTCTCTTTTTGGTATGGCAAAATCCTAAAAGGAAATTAGGAGACCCAAGGTCAATGGGTTCCGAGTGCTCAAGTCGAAGTCTATGGGTCTCAAAGGGAGCCCAGCTTTTCTCGAATTGGATCATGCGCCCAAAAAGGGGTAGCCTCAACAAAGCCCCCGGTTGAAACCACAGTGTGCCAGACAAAGCTGTTGGTGTGGCGAATCTCCGCTTAACCGGAGTCAGATTTCGTCGAACATGATTCCGGTAGCCTTGACCGAGTACTGCAGTCAGGCCTGTTTGAGCTCTTTTGAGAAATTCGAAACATATTCGAAAAGTGTGCAAGTATCGAGGGCTGCATCGAAGTTGGTACTTGGACTAAGGATAGAGTCTGTCACGTTGCTTTGATGGCGTTTGATGCAGTTTCGACGACGTGTTCTTGTTTCTTGAAAGTGCTAACAACGAGGGCAACTGGATCTGCCGAAGGACCCACACGGGCCCAAACTTCACATCGCACGTACCGGTCGGGGTGATGCTCGGCAAAACTCCAGCCGCCCAAGGTCGCCTGGTGTTGACGAGCGTCGAGTTCTGATTTTAAATGACTCGCCGAGGATAGTACTCAGACTCATAGTACGCACCTCCAAACGGCTCAAAGTTCATTCGGCTGTGCGTCAAAACCAATGGTACCATTTTGGGGTTAGGCGCAGCACCCATTTTAGCTTTTTCAGTGGGGATTGGGATGTTCACTGGGGGTACGATTTGGATGTTGACCCATGGCCATTTGGGTCCAGGCGCCCGCGGAACATCTGCACTCGGCGTCCCAGGCGCGGTGCGACGTGGCTTTCTCGAGGTAGTTGCAGCACGGGCGATGTGTTTCTTCGCCGTGCCAGCGTTTCTGGACTCTCTGAAGCTCCAAAAAATGACAAGGGACGTTCATGCTGCAGTTTTGTTTTTTTTCCCGGTGGCTCATGCGGGATGCTGCACGCACCTGAGCCTCAATCAGGTGTCCGTGAAGGCCAGCAAGGCAGGCCTGACCAATAGTGTCGGATCTCCGCCTGGTTCTTTACATGGCTGTGGTTGTCAAAACCGTTTTGGTAGCATTTTCGGGTAGGTGTACCACCCATTTTAGACATTTTCAATGGCCACATGGTGGGCAGACCACTCGAATTCCAGGTTTTGATTGTGACGCAGCAGTTGGACCTACAGATGGGTTTGCGCACTGCTCGGAGAAACGACTCGAACGAAGGCGGAGGGCCTTCTGCGGAGCACCAGGAGAGTTTGTGGGGGGATGGCGGTGTTGGGAGTCAACTTGGGTCACTGGCTACACTTTGGCCAATTCGACTCAAGTCGCAGTTTTGGGGTAGGGAAACTGGGCAGCCACGACAACCTAGGGAAATTTAGAGAACCCTCCATTCGTGGATTCCAGATCCTATTCTGAGACACGTTTGGGCAAGATCGGTTCCCGCCAAGTGGTTGGTGTCCTTTCGGTTCCGTTTTCCAGTTCTCAATTTTCGGGTTTGTGCCAAAAGGGACCTCCCCAAGTTGCCGGTTTGTTGAAACCTAGCAACAGATTGCCATCTTCACTTCTAGGCTGCTTTGAAGCTTTTTTTTGGATATTGCCAGCTGTGGGTTGAACATTTTGGAGACCCCACGAAGGGTCGAGCCAGAAACTTTTTCTGATTTGGGGTTACCAAAAAAAGAACACCAGAGGGTGGCCCCTTGATCCGAACCCGAGCCTTCAAACCATTTTCTTTTTGGTGGGAGCCAAGAACGAATTGAGAGAGGCCGCAGTTGTTCAGTGGCACCCTTTTTCCCCCTATTTTTGGTGGCTGCCCCACTAAAAAATGGTCTTCCCAAAAATTTTTCCAGGGTCACTGAACAACTGAGAGGCAGTGGTCAGCCTTCAACTTCATCAGGAGCTCCTCTTTGCTCAGCCTCAGCGCGCGGATCAAGTCCAACATCTCAGGCCGAAGCTGAGTTTCAACTCTTTTTTGCCAAAGTTGATTTTCCCTTTGAGCCAGCGGAGGCGACGGAGAGGTGGACCCATGGGGTTGATTTGTTTGGGTCTGCTTCTGTGCATCGAAAAGGTTGACCCTGGGGTTTATGAATCCGGGTCGCTTTTCAGTATGGATGGACGAAATCCATTTCGCACCTAAGAAAGCCTGGAATGATGATCCCTGTAGATGGAGCCTTGGACATTCATGCGCCCAAGAAAGTTCGACGCGAGCTGCGGTCACCGGCTCTCCTGCTGGGGGGTTCCTACCAGGGGGACCATGGCCACAACAAAGCCATGGGGAGTCTTGACCATGGCACATGCAACGCTGACAATTCACTAGTCGCGGTTACAAGCGGGACGGCAGTGGGAAGACTGGTCAGAGCTTCTAGAGGTTACCCAGCAAGATCCAGGCTATTTTTCTTTTGAAGTCGGGAAGCTCTTGTTTGTTGCGGGTAAATGAACAACTGCCCATTTTAAGGATTTTCTCGGGCTTCCCTTTTAAACGGTCCCGCAAAAGAGTCCAATCAACCTTCAGACTAGGAAGACCGATGCCAACCGTGGCGTGCTTGCTTCGATGGCCCAAATTTGCCTCGGCTAGGGAGAAGCTGCTGCTGCCAGCTCCAAATGAGCCAATGAAAGCCTTTCCATATGGCTGTGGGTCAAAGCTAATGGTACCATTTTGGCGTAGGTGCACCGGTCTATTTTAGTGGGGATTGGGATGTTCACTGGGAGTACGAGCTTTTGACCCATGGCCATTTGTTCTTTTCGAGTTTGTATTGAAGGGAACCCAAGAGGGATGCAGGGACACACCGCATGAGCCAGAATATAAACCGATTCGGGGAGAGGACGGCGAGACATAGGACTGTTCCCTTTGCCACAACTATGTGCGGAGAAGAACCCGTTTGATTCTTTACCATGAGTGTTGGGTGCACTCCTTCAATACGTGTAGCCCCCAATAGGCAGCGCTAGTTTTCTGAATTGAAGCCAGGCTTGATTAACATTATATGGCCGTGGACCATGTCAAGCCGACCAAAACACCGGCTCAAACACCCCAAAAAGCCAAGTGTCCATAGCCCCAAAAACGACTTCAGCGCCTTGCCACGGGTCGATATGTGTGGCTCAAAACAAAACAGCTGGGGTTTAGGAAGGTTTTGGTCTACTTTTCCATTTCCCAGGGTTCTATTTCGGAGCCCAGTTGTTGAGCGTCACGAGCGAAGTTCGCCACGCAGGTGGCACGCTGGCGTTGACTCTGCTGATCCTGATAGCTGTCGGCATGGCCCTGGGAATCTGCGCCCCCCTGGCCGCGCCTCTGGATGCATTGAGGGGCGTTGCTCCTTTCCGGCATCCCCGTCTGGTTTGGAAGCTCTGAAAGGAAGGCCGGCGTCGCCATTTTGGGGCGTCCCTCAAAAAAGCACGTGCATAAGGGCCCAGCATTGCTCCCAGGTTTGGAGTCAAAGGCCCAACGGCCTCCGGCAACGCGCTTTGCATGTTTCCAGCCCGCGGGGGAAAAGCGCACCCGCTCAAGAGCAACTCGGGGTCTGGGAGTTCCGCGACCCCCGAAGACCGAAGGGTCGGGCGCAAGAGGCCCGGACTTAGGGAAATCATCTGCCGTCTATCAATAATGAGCAGGACCAAGTTTGGTGCGAATTGCCTTTTGCTATGACAAGGCAGACCTTGAGCCATGGATTCAAGGATGGCCGCATGTACATGGAGTATGCTGTGAAACAGGGCAACAAGAACAAGAATCACCCCCCAAAACCCTTCAGCATGGAGGAAAAGCGAGGATTACGTTGCGGGTTTCTTCCTGTCCGGCTCCTTTTAGTAGGTGGTTCTACCAGGGAATTTCGACAACCCATGTCTCATTCGGTCAAAACCAAAACGCCACAATGGGTTTCCTTGTGATCCCTTGACACCAAACGAGCTACACTCAACAACAACACACACACACACACCCAAGCTGAAACCCTTTCTGGATGGTTTGGAAGGGAACCAAAAAGGACACCCGACAACCTAGATGGGGGTATCAGCTCCTAAACACACGCACCCATCACCAAAAGCAAATCCATTTGTCAAGGAAACCAAAAGGCAACCAGGAAACCAACACATTCAAGGAAACAAACAGCACAACATCAGATTTCTGAAATCCAACCAAAAGTTCACAGGCCCGTGGGCTTCCTCGGTTTCCCTTTGACTTCCTTAATCACTTCTGAAAGGGTACCAACTTCCCCCCTTTGAGGTCTCTCAAAAAGCGGTCCACAGGGCATCTCCAAATGGATCCAGACATTTTCTGGCACCAGAAACCCTCCCTCCCAATGCCCAAAGAGCAAACTGCGGGACCTGTGTTTGCCTGGTGTCCCTTCCTGTTTTCACCTCTGGTTTTCCGTGTGGCTTTCTTTGCTTTTCTTCTCTCCCTTTCAGCCAATCTGGCTGCGGCTCGAAATTAAGCAGGGGGGGTTAGGCAGGTTTTGATCCATGTTTCCACTTGCCAGGGTTCCATTTTGGGTATCGGTTTTTTGAGCCACAGCCATCTGTTTCCTGGTTTCCGGTTTTACTTTTCTGAGACCTCCAGTAAAGGCAGTGTTCGCCGAACGGAGGTCAGCTACTACTACGAGGAGCTGGCCCCCGCTCCCTGGCTGCGGGACCTGCGGGAGGACGTCTCCGGGCTGCGCGCGGACCTGCGTCAGCGCGCCGAGGCGAGCGGCGCGCGCGCTCGAGCGGGCGGGATTTGTCGAATCCTGGGGCTTGGGTTTCTTTTCTTCTGTGGGTAAAATTCTCAAAGCGGCAGATTGAGGTGCTAGTTTGTTCGTTTAGATTTTTTGAATCTTGGGGGTTGCCATTTTTTGTGTGCAATGCTCAAAGCGGCAGATTGAGGTGCTAGTTTGTTTGTTTAGATGTTTGGAATCTTGGGGGTTGCCTTTTTTTGTGTGCAATGCTCAAAGCGGCAGATTGAGGTGCTAGTTTGTTTGTTTAGATTTTTTGAATCTTGGGGGTTGCCATTTTTTGTGTGCAATGCTCAAAGCGGCAGATTGAGGTGCTAGTTTGTTTGTTTAGATGTTTGGAATCTTGGGGGTTGCCTTTTTTTGTGTGCATTTCTCAAAGCTCCGGCAGATATTGAGGGGCTAGTTGGTGCTTTTTTTTTTTTAAAGAGGGGGGAGGGCTGGTGCTCTTTTTGGTTGACTGTTTCTGAAGGGATGATTCCTGCCCCAAGGACAGTAAAAGACCACTGCACATTGAGCAGGTGTGTTGTTTTGCAGCTGGAATTTTCGAGGGAAACCAAAGGGTGGAGAGGGGAAGCCAGAAGTAAGTCCACCGCTTGAAAGGAAAACCGGGGAAGCTAGCAGGTGTCCTGTATGAGGCTGGATTCCATTGCTTCCAATTAGGTTTTGCATTTTTCCCAAATGGCTGTGGGTCAAAAAAGGTACCCAAAATGGAACCCTGGTAAATGGAAACATGGACTAAATTCTGCGGTCCCCTGGTGTTTTAATATTGACCCACACCCAAATTAACTGTACGGAAGGCCATTTGGAGCCACAGCTCAGATTGAAGCCAGCGAGCCTGAGAGTTCAGGAGATGCGCCGACGGCGCAGCGAACCACCGGAGGAGATGTGAATCGAGGTATTCTCCACAGAGCGGCTTCCGTCTTTGGTTTCCAGGGTGGAATACAAGGGGCATCCGGACATGGGTTTGTTTTTTTTGCCGTCTTCGGTTTCAAAGCCATCCAGAAAGAGCGCCACATGGCCAGGCTTCCTTTGGTTTCCTTCTGAAATGGCGCAGGAAGGCGATCTGTGCCTCGTTCTGACTCGACACTTGAGAGGTCGCAGACGGGTTCGTGCCAAAATAAGGGAACCACAACATGGGCTTTGCCTTCCGGACTTCTTCCCTTGAAGATGTGCTTCTTGGAGCCCCAAACAATCTGGCTTCCCCCCGAGTCTTCCGGCAGCAGAAGACTGCCGGAAGACCGGAAGATGGGATGACTGCCCCCCTCCCACGAACATGGATTCCACCAAAGGGTGCCTATTTAGAGGAAATGTGCTTCCAGAAATCTTCAGTCAGGTTCCAGGTTCTCCAACAATCATCGAAGTGCTTTGGCAGACTATGGGTGGGAGGGGAACTCTCCATGCGGGTCTGATTGCCTTTGGTTTGCTTTCAAATCAGCTTTAAGCCTGGAGCTACAAGCAGCAACCCAATCCAATGCAAAGAATTGAAGGGCCGCAGATCCGCTTCTACTGGCAAGGTTTCCTTAAAGGCATCTACCCAGGTTTGTGCACAAAAAATGGGGGGGGGGGGGTTACCCTCCCTTCAATCACAGGGTTTTGGAAGACTCAAGCTTTTGGAAGCCATTGCTTTTGTTGGAAAGAGGGTACTTGAATGTGCCCCGCCTCACCTTGAAAAGGACCGTGCTCCAAACCAGCCAAAGGAACACGGTGTTTGCTGCCTGGTTTTTGGCTGTTTAAGGAAAGGATCGAGGATTTAGCAAGAAATGGCTGTAACCACCCCATCGTTTTAAACACAACTTGCGCTTCCAAATCCAATTTTCCAAGATGTGGAATCATATGAAACGAGCAAATGTAGACCATGGAATCATACTGTGGATGGACGAAATTCTGCACCACTTGGAAACCATGGTTGAAACCATTGTTTGTTGGTATTTACAGGGGAATCAAGAGAAACCAGAGTTTCTTAGGTGGTGCGAAATGGATTTTGTCCATCCACAGTACCATCTATGCACACCATTTTCACACCATTTATTCACACCATCTATTTAGTCAATGAAACCATTTAGTCAATGAAACCATCTATTCGCACCATTTTTCACCTCAGACAAAAAAAACGCCACGCGACGAAATCGAGGCGAAAGAACAAATGCGGCGCCAGGAGCCGCGGAAGCGCGAGCGCAGCGCCTCCGCGTCCAAGCGCCGGGCCTCCAGGAAGGCCCAGGCGCGGTTCGGTTTGGCGCGGGGGGCCCGCGGGCGCGGTTGGGTCTGGCCTTTTTTTTCTTTTTCTTTTTTTTTTTGCGGAGGTGGCGGGACCCACCGCAAAAAAGGGTCATCAAGGGTTTTTGGTTGGGTTTTTCCCCTTGGCGTCCCTAACAAAAGTCATGAAGACGAAAGGAGGCTAGCCTCAAAAAAAAAATCCTCGTGGTTTTCGGCGACACGTTTCACAGTTGTTGGGGAACTGAAGGGAAACCCAGCTAAAAAGGAGATGCACCTAGCCCTGTCCCTCTCCCCCCCGTGAACCCCCCACCCCTCTTAGGGCTTGACATCAGAGTTGCTTTGGGGGTAGGACGTGACATTAGGGGCTAGACAAGTGTCACGCATTATAAGTTATGACTACATTTGGTTTCAAGTCCCCACAATCCCGTTCGACCTATTTCTGACCCGGAAAGTCGTCGTAAGTTGGCTGTCTGAATGCAACGTCCAGGCCATCCGAAGCTATTGCTCCTCTCACAACCATGATCCTTGGGGGCTTTTTTTTTTTTTTTAAACACCTCTTTTTCGGTTTTTGTATCTTCCATGATACTTAAGGAAGACCTGGGATTGGATGCTTTGGACATGTGTCAATTGTGTGTGTGTGTGTGCGCAACAGATGCTGAGCGAATTGTGGAGTTTCCAAAAATGGGAGACTCCCCAAACGATTGTGTTGGGCTTGTCTCTAAATGAACCTCAGTCGGTTCACGCAGGCAAAGCCTACCTTCGAGGATGACATCGCAGACCTGTCCACCAGCGACGACTGGATGGGATTGAAGGCACCCGAAGACAAGGCCCGGGTGGGTGACGTAGGGGACTGCCCGCAAGGGCAAGTTGTGGCTGCATTCAGATACTTGGCGGAAGAGGAGAGTCGCATGGCAGCGCGGAGGGTGTTGCTCGACTTGGGCCAATCCTTTTTCTGTAGTACGCTTGGTACAAACGCTTTGCGCGTGACCTAATTTGTCCGCAGCAGCGTGCGCGGCACAGTTTGCAGAGGTTCCTTCGAGTGTTTGTCGCCTCCGGGCCTTCTTTTTAGAGCCCATCCATCTGCTTGTGTCGCGTGATCAGGAGCGCGAGGCGAAACCAAAAAGGTAGCACACTGATGGTCTTTACGATTGGGTTTTGGTTAAGACTCGATTTGCTCGTGGTGGCTGTGACTGGCGATATCTATTCGAAGCAGGGAACATGTCAGAACGTCAAAACGAGTTGGCCACCTTTTGACAAGTTTGAAGACTTTCATGTGTGAGGCCACTATCTCCTACATCAAGCTGCCGCCGACCATGCACGACGGAGTCGCCGACAAGCGGCAGAAGCTTGGACGCAGTCCTTTGGACGGAAGGTTCCTTTGCAAACTCAGGGGGTGAGAGTGGGGGGTGGCTGGCGTTTTTGTTTTTCCTCCGCAGGGCATGGCAGAATGGCTGGGGTCAGTTGGCCATGGGTCAGAATCCAATTCCTACCCCCAGTGAACATCCCAATCCAACCACTAAAATAGGTTCTAAAATGGGTGGTGAATTCACCTACCAACCAAAATGGGATCCCAAAACGGTTTTGACACAGCCAGCTCTGTTCAAGCCTGGGCATAACTTCTGAGCGGGGCGACTTGGGTTGCCGTTGCGCCGGTTGAGCTGACATGGGCGCCAGCTACACAGCATATTCCCATTCACAAAGACCCACAAACATAAGCACACAGAAGCAGCACTACGAAGCTTCTATGGATTCTCTTTCAAGAACATGCATGTGTCAACCAATTTGTGCGTATCGCCACGTAATCCGACGTGGAATAGCTACCTTGGGTGAGAGACGAGTGAGGAGAACACCAGGATCCCTTCCCCAGACTCCAGGGGCAGAAAATGGCCCAGATGTCAGATGGTTTTCATCAACCCCCAATGGAAAATTTTCATTTTCTAAAATGAAGCGGCTTTTGTATGTCCTGTTCAACCCTTGGGTCCAGATAGTTGGGGGTCGATCAGGGTTGCCCAAGCCTTGGATGAACTTGGCACACCTTTTGGTTTGGGTTCCTTTCTTTTGTGGCCAAATCGGGTGCCCAGGATCTCCTCAGCAGAGGACTCGCCCAGCTTGGATCCAAGATTGCTTCAGTCACCCGGTGCCAGCTCAGACTCAATCGTGTATGCAGGAGCTTCCGGCATGTTGTGGGTTCATGGACTGGACAGACGCACGTATGTTTCATGTGAGCTAGCATCAATTCGCGCGATGGTTGTGCAACATTTCGGCGTTTTGAGTTGCCGCGTCTTGTGTGAGCCAAGTCGGAGTTCCCCGCAAGAGAGTGCTTTGAGGTGAGGTCACGGAACAGGTCAGACGTACCTACTGTACGTTTTTCTTCTTTTATCATTATTATTTCGGGTTTCGGCATCCCCCTTGAAAAGGCGGAAACCACCGACGGCACTAGGGCCCCCAAAAACTCGGGGCCCTAAGTTTGACGACCACTATCCAATTCATTAAATGGGCACCTTCCGACAGCTCGGCACAGGAGCTAAGAGGATCTCCGACGAAAGCCCATGCCTCAGCCTGCGAGAGGGTCATTAGGCCTGGAAGGGGGTGGGGAGGGGTTTGGTTGCCCCTTTCCTCACCAAGAAAGCCCCCCCTTAAAGTGAAGTAGTCATAGGAGTGGCCTTTTGGTATCACAGAATTCATTCCGCACTCCCCCTTAAGGTGCGAAGCCCTGCGACCAAGCCCGTCTTAGCCGTCAAAACCCATGGGATAAGAAAGTCTCAACTAGAAGGGGTGGATATCCGCCTGTTGACTCTATGAATTGGTTTGTGTAGACCCGTTTAGTGCCAGGCTTTGATGTTTTGGACGCGTTTGGATATCCTCTGGCTTTGAGTCTTAGAGCACTCCCGGTGTTTTCTCTTCCACATGATACTATATATACGGGGAGTTGCTTTCCCTTCAAAGCCAAAAAAGCACCTTAACAACATTTACCCTCAACAAAAGACACACGTCCCTACAATTCCCCTCAAAAGGTGGGTCTAAGCATCACCGTCTGGAGAAGAGCGTTTTCTGGACAGTGAGTTTTCTGTAAGGGAGATAGGCCCTGTCTACCCTAGGGTTGACCCTCGTTAGATGATGACCCTCCTTAGGTCAACTTTCCAAATGCATGTATGCATTTACTTATTGATGTGTATATTCATCTCTTCATTCATTTAACATTTCTGTTTTATGTATATTTATTTCCTTAGTTGTTGTTTTGTTTATTGTCTATTACTTTATTTGTTTGTTTGTTTAGTTAGTTGATTAAACAATCACATAAGCAGATGAGTAAAACAACAACTAAATACAACTAGGTGCGTATATATACATATATATGTATACACCCTTCCTCCGACTGACATGGCAGCTGTGAGGTGATACCTGGAAGATTAGTTTCCTTTTGAGATCCAATCTTTGCCATGTTGCCATGTTGGAGGGTATATGTTGCCATATCGAGTTATTCCTCATGGTTGTAATGACAGCTCTCGGGTTTGCGGCTGAGGCACCACCGCCACGGAGGGCTCCTCCTCGGAGTTCCGGGGAGAGTTTCCCAACCTGCCAACGCCTGAGGGGAGAGTCTCCCAACTTTTTTGTTTGTTTTTTTTTGGAGGGGGTGCCCAAAAAGAAGACAACCCATGCGGTTTGGAGGGAATTTTGGGGTTGGTTTAAAGGTCAACAGGGAATTGACTGATTTTGGGGTTCGAGCTTGTTTGGTGCCATTAGTTTCCCAACCAGCTGGAAGCCTAGAATTCGCGGGAATTCCTGGACCCCGATTCGGATCATTTAAAAGGCGGCGCAACGATATCTTTGGTGCATTTTGCCAAGGGATGTCAGGACTTTGACTTTTGGCCAACCAAGGGGTTTTCCCCATGAAACCACTAAAAGTTAAACACCTTTAGCAGGGGAGCAGATAGCAACATAGTTTGTTTTTGGAGAACTCGGTTGGGTGCTTTCTTGGCCCTGAAAGAACAATGCCAGAATGCCCAATCGGAGACTAGGGGGCAAACACCTTTCAGCAGGCTCGGTGTTGAAACACGAAGCGGCGACAATAATGTTCTTGACAACCCCCCAATTGGCATGGTGAGGGCGCCCCTGCGCCCCAAAATCCGCGTTGGCCACTTTACTGGGTAGTTCCACTACCTGGTGTAGTTTGAATGACAGAAAAGCCAACTACAATCTTGTTAGAACCAAGCATTTTTGTGGAGAGGATTTCGAACAAGTTGCGCGCTATGGCTCCGTCTCGCACCAGTGTCAGCTACCAGCAAGGTCCATGAGTTTTGATCGACCTTTAAGCCCCAAGTCTATCTCAAAACGTGACTTGTGTTAATTCAAGGGGTGACTAACCAAAATGACCCCCGACACAAACACACAACAAAACTGATTTCAGGGAGAACCCATCTGCTTGGGGTACTTTGATAGCCCCTCCTTTGAGCATTTTCATACCCAACACAACTGTTTTTTGCCCCAAAAAGAGGGGGACAAACATATGTCTCCTGGGTTGGGGAAACAATGCTAAGTCTGTGGCACTGGGATAAGCCACCCACTCACTTGCTGCAAAGCGAGCTCTGTGATTCACAGTATTGTTTGCTGCTCAGGGTCAAAATGGGGAAGCCTCTTTGTATAAGCCAAGGTGGAACGGGTCCCGAGCCCCATAAAGAGCTAACTTGTTACGGAGGCTGTCCTCTTAGGATGCCGAGATTGGGCTTTTCACACACCCCACAACCGCATTGCAACTTATGGCCCTTAGCCTGAAAGCGGGTACTTGGAACCAACTTCAGCAGGTCGTGGATTTCGCTGGGGTTAGCTTGAGTCCTCTTGCCCTGGTCGCGAGGACGTCCCTACCGTGCTAATTTGGCAAGGTCACAAGCATGAATATGGCTGTGGGTCAAAACCCTGTACCCCTGGTGAACATCAAGATAGGTGGCAAATGGATGTTCATCCACCCCAAACTGGTACCATTGGTTGTGACCCACAGCCATATAGCTGGGGCAACTGGGTTTGGTCCCCTTCCCCTAGTCGCAACCTTCCGTGGATTGAAAGCCGGGTAGATGAAGGTTAGTAAGGGGTTGTCCCGGCCAGAAATAGCCTTCTTAATTCCGTACCCCAGTGAACATCGCAATCCCCACTAAAATAGGTTCTAAAATGGGTGGTGAATTCACCAACCGATCAAAATGGGATCCCAAAACGGTTTTGACAACCACAGCCATATAGCTGGGGCAACTGGGTTTGGTCCCCTTCCCCTGGTCGCAACGCCACCGCGCTCACAGGTCCAGCCTGAGCCGAAGGGGCCGCGAGCTCGAGAGCGAGTCGAAGGAGCTGAAAGCCAGCGCTTCGGCGGAGAAGTTTCCCCCGGCCCGTTCACGTGTGCTCTCGTTTTTTTTTTTTTTGGATGAGAGGTGGATCAAACCGTGTTTTTTTTTTTTTTTTTTTTTTTTTGGGGGGGGGGTGACTGGTTGGTTGGTTGGTTGGTTGGTCGGTCGGTTGGTTGGTTGGTCGGTCGGTTGGTTGGTCGGTTGGTTGGTTGGTCGGTCGGTTGGTCGGTTGGTCGGTTGGTCGGTTGCTTGGTTGCTTGGTTGCTTGCTTGCTTGGTTCAGAGTTGCTCGGTGGTTTCGGGTGTTTTTGTTGGGGCTTGCTGGGATTTAGGCGTGGTTAGGTAAGTTCTAGGCTGGTGTGGGATTAGTCGCCAAGACTCAGCACAAATCGGCTCCCACCCAACAGACTTGGATATTCGCTCTTTGCCAAGCCTCAATCAGTCCTTATTCAGATCTCAGCCAGCTGAAAATCACAGCCACCGAGCAACTCTCAACTGACACCAAATCAGAGCCAAGTGAGGCCTTGATTTTGGGGATGCTGGCAACCAACCCGGACAAGGGCCAACCAGACCTCCATCCTGTTGGCAAAGCCAGATCTAGTTTAGATGGAAATGGAGGCCTTGTGTTGAACGTTTCTAGAAAACGGTTTGGATTTGCGCTTTTTGAGGATTTCACCCGTTCTTCCCCCTGTAGGTTCTTTTTAGTACTCTTTTAGTACTCTTTTAATATCCTACAGGGGTGGCCCCACAAGGTGGCCCCACAAAAACCACATCCAAACCGCTTTCTAGAGAGTATCAACAACACACCTCAACCATCAAGATCGGCAAGAGAAAGAAAGGTCTGCCAGCCCATAGTCCGCGCTGCGGGGACTCTGCGGACACTTTTGAACTCTTCGTAGATATGACCATAGTGAGGTTGATTCCTTCCCAGATCCAACATAGTCGCTTGCCCCCAAATATGCCGCGGTTCTGAGTGGACGTGTGGACATACGATGATAGATTTTGAAAATAACCGTTGCCTATTATGTCTTTCTTTGGCGCCAGGAAATACACCAAATGACTTGCAGGTACAATTATAGTTGTCACTTACTCGTCAGGTGCCGGGATATCTTTCTTACATGCCCTTTGCCGTCTTTCGTTCGTTTGGCCTGGACACAGATCATGATGATGTTGTTCATGCCTTGGCGCTTGTCTAGCCCAGCGGTGGTGGATTTGTTTTTGGCTCATTGTCTTTTTGTGAAGCGAGGATGTAAATGGGAGCGTGCTTTCTTGAGGCTACCTTGCGGCTCAGGTTCCTCAAAACGGGCTGTGTCCTTTGACAGCAAGGTGGAGGCCGGGGAGTCACGATGAAGGCTGTTTCGGGGTGAAGTCTAAGGGAAAGTGCTAGTTGTAAGGCCAGATATGTGCCCTCTTGATCATTTTGGGGTGCAGACTCCTCTAGTACCAAGTTTGTTTGTAAGCGGTACGAGTTGAGTGCAAGTTTCAAAAGAAATGCTGGCCGGCGTGTGTTTCCAAATCGGGGATTCCCCTTAAACTGGCTGGTTTGCCTTGAAACAACTAAAGTACCGTGGATGGACAAACCCACCGGTTGGTAGGTTGCTGATCCCGAATAGAGGATGTTATCCGTATTTTGAGACGGAACAATGCGATTTTGAGGCCTTTGGAGGCCTGATTTGAACAGAGGCTAGCCCCTATTCTCCATACCCCACCTATTTTGGTGGCATGGTGGCATAATTTCAAATAATTTCAGCCCCTCACTAACACCATAAACCCCCATTGCGTTTTGCCAAATATCCTTTGAACAATGGGTATGTGGAGTTGGGGGTATAAGGCACCTGTGTGAATTCCCCTTTGTAAGTACACCGGATCAACCAACACTTCAGTTTTGGGGGATGTTCACTTGCTTTGAGTTTTTTTGAAGATAAGGAACACAGATGAACATTGATTGACGATGATGGTTCCTTAGAACACTTGCAAATCTGATACTTGTGGATTCTCTGTTGGTTGCTTTCATCCAGCCACCGCTTCCTCTAAACACCTGCTGAACTTTAGGAAAATCTTCAAAGGCCGTGTTTTCCGCAGTTTGGCTTGGCCAGGGGTTGACATCATACCTTTTTGTTCACTGGGCATTCGGAGTAGGGAGGTAGCTGCTGACAGCATGAGCCACAAAAAAGTAATGCAGAGACGGATTGGATCAAACAAGCACTTACTAGGGATCAAACGAACCACTTGTTAGGAATCAACCGTAACTTCTTGCCGGGCTTTCGCAGCACCTTGAAACCCTCAAGTCGGCTGCTTGGTGTTTTGTTGTTTGACTAAGATGCATTATCTATCGCCTTTTTTTCTGCCTGACTTATGAAGGGAGATACATTATATCATATGTGTGACTGTTACCCATTGCTCTGCTGCGTTGTTCTTTTGGGAGCTGCAGTGTATGCTGGTGCTGCCGCGGATCCGGGCAAAGGATAAACTCACCCGCAGACATTAACGCCAAAGTCAATTGTTTTGGGATTGGGCTGGTCTTTTGGGCTGGTCTTTTGCCCACGGGCTGGTCCTTTGCCTTGGCGTTCGGCAGGTGAAGGACGTTGGCCCACGGGTGATTGGCAACTCAGAGCGGAGGAAGTGTCGAAGTACATCGCGGAACCAGAAGGAGCCCTTCAACGCGAGAGTTCCAGGGAACGAGTTTGGGGTTAGGGGTCTTGACGCGTTGAAGGGCTGAATCAGCCAAGCCCCGCACCCTGCGGCCGTATGGCACTTGCACGCCCCTGGTCTTCCATCTCAGGACGCAGAGTCGTCCCGACGGTCGCCCAGAAGCAAAAGGGCTGGACACCATCGGAGCAGGCCAGGGCAACGCAATGAATATTTCTTGTTTCCCTTATTTGCTTAAGTTGTTTTTTTCTCCCCCCTTGTTGGTTTTAAAAGGAATTCATTCCTACTGGATATATTTTTATTTTTTCCTTGGGCCTTAGCCAAATGGAGGGGTTTTGAACCATCTGCCGAATCATGGTTGTGGGACATGGGGCTTTGCCAATTAAAGTGACAAGTAGTCCTAGGAACGGCCCCTTTTTTCATTTCCATCCATGAACCAGACCCGTTGAAACGAGTTAGGCCAATGTTCATCAAGCTCATCCCTGAAGATCCCAACCCTTGTTCTCCCTAAGCATCATTTGACCCTCCATGCGCCGTCCTGGGACGTTCATTGGAAGGCTTTGGTTGCCTCAAAATTTGTCCCTTTTTGAAGGCCCAAGATTCTTTTTGCCAGAAACAAAGAGCAGGGCGCGGCTCGGGTTCACCGCCATGTGGTTTTCCCTTTGAAGCCCCTCTAAACACAACAGAATTGGTTTATGCCACAGGCGTGGTCGGAACCTACCGGAGGATCTCTTTCACAGAAAGGTCCTCTTGCGGTCTGGACCCCTCAGTCAGGTTCCATGATTTCGCATGGGTTTTCTGTTACCCAAAATGCGTAGCCCAGGTCTCCTTCGAGCGAGGCTCGAAGCCGGCGCTGAGAGAAGGCGCCGGACGCGGCTTGGATTGGACGCGTCGAACAGGAAGGCTCGGTGCCCCCCTTTCAGGGTTGGTTCAAAGGAAGGCAACAGGAAACAAGGGCCTTGGAGTGGACAAAGCATGACACAAGGCCATGTGAATCCCCTCAACCAAGTAGGCGACATGCTTGTGGGAACTGGGCCAGTGCGTTTCTCAAAGTTGCATTTTTGGGGGTTCTCAACAGAAAGACTGGGGGTGGTTGCCTGACCATCATTGAGAGGCACTCGTTTTGAGAATGTCGCTTGGATGGACCCCGGAATTGTGGGTGTCGCTTTTGCTCCCTTTTTTGCCAGCACCACAACAGTCCAAGGCCCCACCAGTATACCATTTGAACATATTCGGGATGAAAGGAGCCTTCTCATGAAAGTAGAGCTGCTGTTGGGAAAACCTGAAAATTGAGTACCCTTTCAGAGATGACAAGATCCTCAGAAGCAAGAACGGCAGTTTTGGGCAATCCCAAAAGACCCTCCAATTGTTTGCCCAACCGACCTGAGTCTCAGGTTGCTTTCCCTTGCTGCAATCCGCGGCGTGGCCAATGCTTGTGGAGTGGCAAAATGCGAGCATGGCGCGACACGAAGTCAGCCAGAAGTGGTCTTTGACTGGTTCAACTGCAGTCGTGGTTTTGAGTTGTTCTCCGGGAATCCATGTAGCCCTGAAGCAGTGGTTTTGATTGGTTTGGGAACCTCTGCTTCTTATGAAGGGCAAATATTAACCCTCAACCTCCAAAACATGTCCGAATCGGTTCGTGGCCGCAGGGCTCAAGCACAAGATGAAGCGGTCGTGAAAAATCGCCCCGCGGTTGGAGCGCTCCACTGAGGGGTTTCTGCCTCCGCCGCTCCAAGTCGGGCGCCGAGAGACATTTGACCAGGATAGCGCAGAAATAAACAGAGGGAACCTGCAAGTTCGGGCTAGAGAGAAATGGCTGCCTGGTAGACGAAAACATTAAAACCTTCGTTCTCCTGAATTTTGCCCCACGCTCGAAAAACAAGCAGAAAACAAAAAACAAGAAAAGTTCCCTGGTTCCACGTTTGGGAGTTTGTTTTTTCTTTTCTTTTCTTCTTTTTTTTTTGTGAGACTCTGGTGCGGGGAACCGGTGTTTTTTTTTTTACTAGCCCCGGCTCGGGGCTTAACCCCGGCTCGGAGACTGGTTGGTTGGTTGGTTGGTTGGTTGGTTGGTTGGTTGGTTGGTTTGGTTGGTTGGTTGGTCAGCTGGGCGGCCGCATCCCCAGCATGCCCAGCATTTCCGGTTTCTTGTCACGGCTGCGTATGGGGCATGCAGCACAAAACTTGCAGAACCACATCCCCGAAGCAACCCGAAAGCCACGGCTAAACCAGCCGCACATCTAGCACGAATCAGCCCCAACCAAGCCAAAACGGACCCAAAGTCAACCTGAAACCCTCCCAACCGCATCCTGCATATCGGCCCTTTGCCGAGGCTAAATGAACCCTAAACAAACCCAAGACCCGCCCGCATTAATATCTCAGCAAGCCCAACACTCACCCCAAACCAGCCCCGATCAACCCTGAACTGCCACCAAACCAAAGCCAATAGGCAGCTCGCGTCCGAGTGAGGCCAGTAATGCTGGCGATGCACTATCCCGAGCATCAAGTCATGCCCCATACGCAGCCGCGACAAGAAACCGGAAATGCTGGGCATGCTGGCGATGCGGCCAACCCCAGCTTGCGCCGAGCCGCTAGTAGAAAGCCGGGGCTAGTTTAAAAAAAAAGAACACCTCAACCCTGGTGCGGTTTCTGAAGACATGGCCCGTCTTCTCCCCCAAAGACGCCGCCGCGCCGCCGCTCCGCCGCCGGGGACGCCGCCGAGTCGCTTCCGCGCCATGAAGCTGATCCAGTCCATGAAGCTGAAGCACGAGGACGCGTTCGGGTCGCGGGGGTCAGAGTGGGAAGGAGAGATGGGGTCATATGATGTAGATGGTTAGAATGGTGGAATTTTTAGGGTAGGTTGACCAAGGAGACAAGAGGTCAATGTAGATGGTAGAATTTAAGAGTGGTCAACCCCAAGGAGATAAGATGTCGATGCAGATCATAGAATTTAGAGTAGTAGGTTGACCAAGGATGTAGTATGGGCACAAAAGTGGGAGTGCGAAATTTGAAGTTCCGTGGGCTGTGGCGTAGATCATTTATGAGGTCGTTTGGCATTAGGTTTGTATTTGGGAGTCGGGGGGTGCCCGAATTTTCGGGCCACAACAGCGTCGGGTAAGAAGGTTGTTGCTTATGGTAGGGACTTTCATGTGGCCTGTCACTCAATGTGAGTTCGCCTTGAGGGTGGAGGGCGGGTCATGCGGGTGACTTGTGGGGGGCGCTGCGCCAGTGGCTGCAGACGGGGAGGGGGAGTATTGTTTTGATTGATTGATTGATTGATTTGATTTTGATTTGATTTGATTTGATTTGATTTGATTTGATTTTGATTTTGATTTTGATTTGATTTGATTTGATTTGATTTTATTTGATTTGATTTTGATTTGATTTTGATTTGATTTGATTTGATTTGATTGATTGATTGATTGATTGATTGATTGATTGATTGATTGATTGATTGATTGATTGATTGATTGATTGATTGATTGATTGATTGATTGATTGATTGATTGATTGATTGAGTGGAGGTCACTAGCTCTGAAGCCTGGCCTGATCAGGGTGGCTTGCTTGGTTGCCTGGTTGCCTGGTTGCCTGGTTGCTTGGTTGGTTGCTTGCCTGGTTGCTTGGTTGGTTGGTTGGTAAGACCAGTGGCTGAGCAGCCGCTGCTTGGCGTCTTTGCTGGCCTGGTTTGAGGCCACGGGGGATGTGTGGATGTGGACACAGGGGAGCTTGAAGAACCGCAGCCAGTTGAGGATGTTGATTTGAACGACCCTGCCTTTGACCTATTCCCCCTGCCCTCTTCCTTTCACCAAGCCTCGCAGGGCTGCGAATGTGGCGGCCTGCAGGAAGATCCACCCTGACAAAGGCACAGAAGATGACAGGCGATTCAAGGCTGTGGTGCAAGCGTATGGGGTCAGCAGGCAGTGGCTTAAATGGCGAAGGCAGTCGAGAAATTGGAAGCTCAACATGCCCATGGCTTTGCTTGCCATTGTCTGAAGCGTCCACAGCAAAACCCGCACAGTGGGTGAAGTCCCTACGATGTTGGCGCATGGTGAGGAGCCTGCAGAAAGCAACAATTCAGAAGGGTCATTGGACATAGCCGCAACTTGTTTTACATTTGGGGTGTGAGTTGGATGTATCCAACCAACCAACTAACCCATTGCTCAACCACAAGCTCAAACCCTAAACCTGACATCGCTAACAACATAGCCAGACAACCTGCGAACCACGAGCTTTGTTGGCTTGCCGTCCACTTAGGCGGACAAAAAAGAAGCAGCTGCAGAAGGAGGTGGCCAGGAAGAGGGGAAACGAACAAGCGTGAAACAGCTTTGGAGCTTCCAACTGTGCAGCGCTTGCAAACCTTTCATGCAGGTACCCTCTGGCTGCAAACCCTTCTCCAACACAGCGGCTGCGGTTCCGCGGTTCCGTCTCCGCGGTTCCGCGGTTCCACGGTTCCGGTTCTGTGGTTCCGCGGTTCTGGTTCTGCGGCTCCGGTAGTTCCGGGTCCGCGGTTCCGGTCCGCGGTTGGTTGGCTCTTCGGTTCCACATTTCCACGTTGCAAGACTTTGCGTTTCTAATGTTCTGCGGTTCCACAGTTCTGTGGTCGGTTTCGATTTTTGCGCCGTTCCGTGGTCACGGTGCTGTGGTTCTGCGGTTCCGTGGTTCCGTGGTTCCGCCGGCGAGTTCTGTGGGTTGTGGTGTGTTTCCCGGTTCCGCAGATCTGCGGTTCCGTTTTCACGGCTCCGTGGTTCCGAGGGCCTGTGCCGCAGCAAGCTTACCTCAGCATGCCCCGGATCGCCGAGGCTCGTTGGTTGGACCGTGCTAAGAACACAGCGGCCAAGGCGAAGACGAAGCCAAGGAGGAGAAAGCAACATCTTGCCATAGAAGAAGACTTTTCGACAAGCATGTCCGGCGCAGAGAGCCCCACTGAGCTTGGCTTCCTCACTAGGAACGAACATGGAGGCACTTCTGAACAAGGCGGAAGCATTTCCTGAGAGAGTGCGCACTGACACTGCGCGAACTGCCACTGGGTATCGGAGTTTCGGTTTCAGATATCTCCGCCATGTGAAGTCATTGGTATGACTGCGTGGTCAGAAATGAGCAGTCTGCCTGTGCGTCAGCTGGCCCAGCAGGTGTATTGGGCTCGAACTCAACTGGCAAGCATGGATGATGCCTCGAAAGTGGCAGACGCTTTGCGGTGCGATTTTGGCAGGGAAGCCACGCGCTTGTTCCGTTTGCTTTGATGGGAAAAGGGCATGTCCTGAGTGCCACTTGATCTGCTTCCCCCACATCAGCTTCGTCGCCCAAAGATTAAGTGCAGACTCTGTACATTAGGGCTTGCTTCTGACTCGGCAACCTTTACCCTGAGTTGTGGGGAGCGTTCGCCCCCAAATTGGTGGTAACTTGTGAGTAAATTGGGGGGACAATTTGAGAGAAAGGTTGGGGGCAATTTGCCCCCAACTCCGGGGCATTCCTCAATTTGTGGGTAATTTACCTACAATTTTCGGGGTAATTGAGATGATTTGCCCCCCCCCCCCCAATTGGGGATAATATTACCTGGGGGGAAACTACACACAAAATTGGTGGCACATTACCGGGTACATTACCAAAGGGTAAATTACCACAAAATTCGGGTAGATTTGAGGTAAGTTGGTAAAGAATTACTGCTACAGGCAAGGCTGGGGCCAATCAATCTTTGGTGACCCACATCTACGGGGGAATTTCTGAGGAGCCCGAAACATCCATTTGTCAGGAGGAGGATGAGACTGCCTGTGGCCCCAGTTTGTCCCTTGGGCAGTCTGTCTGCTGTGGCCCTATTTGGATCCAGGAAGCAGCAAGTTTGGAACCCAATCGGAGCGAATTGAGGGCTGTTCTGGCTGTCCCATTTCTGGATCGGGACCGCCTTGCCAAACCTAGGGAAAACCGCGCCGAACCTAGGAAAAAAATGAGCCCTTCCGCCCATGAAGGGGGTGCTATTTGAACGTCTTGCACGGTCCAAAATTTCCCCAACCTTTCTCTCGGTGAAGAATGTGCCTCAAGCCTCTCCAGGCTGTGACTGTCCCCGGCTCAGTGCGGATTGATAAGGGTAAGAGGTCGGATTGCAGCACAAAATTCGGGGTCTGGTTGCTCTCATGGGTGTTTCCCAAAACACAAGTTGGACCCTTCAAGCTGATTCCTTTTGCCTTTTCATTCAACCCAAAGGGCCAAAAGGCTTCAAACGCAGAGCCGGGATATGGGCAAAACCCCTTTCCATTCGCGCCGAGGCCAAGCCCGGCCCCGGCCCAGGTGCGCATCGATCTTGACAAATCGCGAGCCAACGTAGAGGGCTGGTACTTTGGTTTGGTTTCCCAGACCTGTGGTGCTTGATTCCCACCTTTTGCTTGGAGTCGCTCATTTGTACAGAGTCGAGCTCCCAAAGGGCGCCCCTTTTTGGTCATGGACACCCCGGTCTTTGGTTTTGCTGGGTGCCGACTACCATTCCGAAGATCGACCCGCACTGATTGTTTCCTGTTATTTTTTTTTTGAACCCACGAACCCTAGGAATGCTCTAGTACCATTCAATGAACGGATTTGCTGAGGGTGTTTCTCTTTTTGGAGTTGCCACACCTTGTTGGGGTTGGCGAGGAAACCACCCCATTCAAGGACCAACTGCATGGGTGTGCCTGTTTTTTGGTGTCCGTTTGGGGTTGCCTGCTAAGACGGCCAAATGGAGCCTATCCAAGTCTGGCGACTCCATGTGAGGTTCGGTCAATCAGATTTGTCTACATACCGGGAGCTGCACATTTTCACAACTCGGGACTCGTTACTGTTGTGGGTGGTCTCGATGTTGATCGCTCATACCCCAGGAGACAAATTTAAATTCACGTGGCAAAAGGCACCAGGGTCCCCAGGGTTGAAAACTTGTTTCAACATTCACCCCCCCCAGTGCCCTTTCAATTGGGAAGCTTGAAAAGGTTGTTTGAACCACTGGGATTGGGCAAAGTTGTAAAACCTGGCTGCCTTCAGGAAAGACCAAAGAGGTTGTTTCACCAAAGTTGGTTTAGATTGTGGCTTCAAGCAACAGAAGCCAATGCCCTGAGTGTTTTTGTTTGTTTGCCTTGTTTCAACCAGCGTCTTTTGTTCCCACCGCCCAGCGAGATCTGCGTCGCGCAGGCAAGGCCAAGCAAGCAGAGAACGCCTTTGCAGCCCTGCGCAGCCCATAGTCGCCAGAGTTTCTGGGCCCCGCTCTGCCCCCTGAGTCCTGTGTGTTTTGGTGTTTCTGTTTGCTTTGCTTTTCTTCAGGTCTTCAGATGCTAGGTGAGTCTCGGAAAGGCTCCCTGTTCGAGGCTCCGCCATGTGGAAGTTCCCAGGCTTCTCGGTTCCTTGGCCGACGTTCTCCCATTCTCCAGATTGGCCTGGCGTGGCTTTCCGGACCTGAGCCCTGCCTTTCAGGTCATAGACTCACTTCCTGAGTTCATGAACTTGAACAACTTTTGGGGTTTGGACCATTTTAGTGGTAAATATCAAGCTTGGGCCGTTTTTTTTTGGGCCATCCACTCAGTGAGTAGAGGGAAAAGCGCGTTTTTCACGTGTTTCCCCTTCCGATGCCTTCAGGCCAAAGCTGCGGGATGAGCTGGCGACGGAACGACCCGAGCTGTTCAGGCTAAAGCTTCAGGCGCCCCATGGTGATTCACCGTGTGCGGGTGGGCACGTGGCTTACCTTTCTTGTTTTGCGCGCTTCTGTTGGGTTCGAGCCCATGGTCTTTTTTAATGGTCTTTGGTCTTGTATTTTGTATTTTGTTTTCCAGCGGCTAGCTTGTTTGTTGGTCGGGTTCATGGGGTTCGGAGCAGCTTTCAGCTCCGGGGCTTTCCAGGGCAGACCATTTGCGCTGTAGGGTTCGCGCTGGGCCAGCCCCGTGTTGTGGCTTCCATGCGGTCAAAAATGAAGGTTTTCCCAGCAAAAGGCAGGGATTGCAAGCTTTCATGGTTGTATTCGTGGTCTTCCCGCACAAAACGCACACATGCGTGTTCCTTGTGGTTTTGAATCATGTCCGCTACTCTTTCGCGACTTGCGCGTTCCGCACAAAGTGTCGGCAGCAAGGGCGGGACAAGCAATACTGCCGCAGGGAGTAGCTTTGATGGCTTAGCGCGTGGCCTGAGCCAAACTGGCCAATGTTCACCTCGATTTATCCCGAGGACCGCACCAATCCTCGGTTGCCCCTCAAGAACAGTTCTACTTTAGGGGATTCCTCCGAGCTTGTTCGAGACATCAAGGAGAGCTTCCCATTTATTGGGGGCATTAAAATCTGGGCCTGATCCCCTTCCCCATAAATCAGCTGCCCCGTGGGAACTTGAGCGAGTGGGGGGATTCGGTGGGGAATGTGCTTCGTCACAGGAGGTAAGAGCCTTTCCGCAGGCCTGCTGCACGACCTTCGACTTCGGCTCAGAGCGGGGGCCGCGGAAGCGGGATGCTTTTCTGAGCGGGGAACCTGCGTGGAAGGCCCCGGACAAAAGGAGACAGCGGCAAACCCAAGGACTGCTTTTGTCCATGCCAAACCCTTAGGTTGGGGCTGCTGGAAAAAGGTATGAACCTTGATATGGATCCTTTGGTGAACCTCATTTGCGGGCACAAAAAACCCGCAGAGCAGAGTTTCCACAGGAGATTCAGGGTGGGATTCCCCAAGAGTCGCTATTGAGAGGGTTCTGCATTTCAACGCAGGATAGGCCCACTTTTGTGATAGGGATCCGTCCTGGAGCATGAGCCATTTTTTCGGCCGGCACAATTCCCCAAACTAGGCGGTTCCTGAGTTTGGGTCTGTGTCAGTCCTGGAGAAACCAAGGTGAAAAGGGTGCCTTCAAAAACACCCATTTCACATTGCGTGGTTGTTGTTGGGAAGCATTTTACATTTTTGCTTCTTGTGGTTTAGAAGGGAAATTACCCACTGAACTGCTAACATTTAAATGTTTGCTCCCCTTCCAACGTCAACCAAGATTGCCCGTTTCAGACAAGCTGGACCATCAGAGCCTCACTTTGAGGGCGCGGCTTGGGCTCGCAGAGGCCGTCAGGGCTCCTCACGAAATGGCCATGCGCAAATCATCTCAGAAGGGAATAGACGAACCCTTACTTGAGTCAAAGAAGCCCGCCAAAATTGGCGCCTTTCAAAGAAACCCGCCAAAATTGGCGCCTTTCAAAGAAACCCGCCAAAATTGGCGCCTTTTCCAAAGGTGATACTTGAAGCCGCAAGAACGGAACACCTGCTGCCAGGTAACCATCGATTTGATGAACAAAAACGAAGTAGTTCGGGCGGGGGGGAGCCTGCACAGTTTTGGGTTGCGGGTTGAGAACGATAAGATTCACCCCAGGCTACTCAGGAGCTTGTAGTTTTGGACACTCCTGTTTGCCAAGGAAACCCACCAGCAGGCAAGAACTGCCAAACCTGTTTGGGGGCTGTTTAAACAGTTTGGTTGTTTTAACATAGGAGACAAAGGGTCATTTCCGGACTTAGCTCACCTTCTTGCCCTTTGCTTTTGGGTTTCCTTCAGTTTCCCTGACCAAACAGTTGTCACTTTTTGCCAGGGTCCACTCGGGGTGACGTGCCTGCCGCCTGCCGCGGAACGCCGAAGCGAGGACCAACTTGAAGGCGAAGGAAGCGAAGCGGCAGACGCTCATTGAGCTGGTGGAGTATGCCGCATGGCAAGTTTGGCAAAACATCGACCCCCCCCCCAAAAAAAAAAAAAGACAGGTCAACACGTGGCCGTGGCTCAAAATTAAACACGAGGGGTTACGCAGGTGTTGGTCCATGTTTGGACTTGCCAGGGTTCCATTTTGGGTACCGGTTGTTTGAGCCACAGCCACGTGGCAAGGGCTTCCTCTTAATTTCTCTTCAAGACCAAGCCGGCCCAGCATGTTGAAAAGCCCTCAACTTTGGGAGCAGTGAGGGATTGAAATCTTTTTTGTTTTTTTCCCGGGCAGCAAACAAAACACGGAACCCGGAAATTCGCTGAGTTTGAGCATTGGACACATGTCCTTGCGCCGCGGGGTATCTCACGAACACTCGCCCGAAGCCGACCTGGACTTTGAGAACGGTTTCGGCCAGGTCAATAGCCGCGCCGCCTTCCAGGACTCACCACCCGTTCGCCCCAAAGTGGCAACTGGGTTCGAAGAATTGGAGGAGAGCGAGGCCTCTCCTTGAAAGGGAAACCCCAAAGAAGGATTCAAGAAGGGCTCCTAAACCCTGCGCGTAGAGCAGACGGAAAAGACCCCATGTTGGCATCTGTTTAGATGCCTACACCATTCTGGTAGAACCAAGTGTATGGAGTCATTTTTTCAGTTGCTAGTCTCTTTGTGTTGTATTCATTGTCTTCCTTTCTTCTAATGAGATTGTGTTTCCTACTCTTTTCCTTCCTTTCTTCTCATGCTTTGTCACCTTTCGATCTCAAGATGCAAGTCGCAAGCAAAATGAAACCACGATCCAAAAGTATGCCCAGGCAAATTGCAGCCAAGCTCAGAAACGGACAAAACAATGGTCCAGTGGCAAACCAATTCCCATGGTTCCGCCAAGCCCCAATAATCAGAAAGAAACCAGACTGACAAATCACAACCAAACTGAATCCGTGGAGTGCCATTCCATTTTGCACCCCCAAACCCATCACCTGACAGTGACACGGACCTGCATGATGGTCCCCGATCAGTGATCTCGCTAGAGCAGAACACCGTTCCAATCCAAGATCCGAAAGCTTGCAGAACTGCCAAACCACCTACCAACTGATGCAGAATTGTCCATATCCAGTATTTGTGGGGGTTGTTTTAAAGGCAACCCGCACGTTTTGGGAGATCCCCCTATTTTGAGACACACGCACACACACACACACACAGACACACCTTTCTTTGGGGTCTTGCTTGACCGGTAGGACACGCTGATCCCGGACATCATCAAGATGGTGGGCGCCAACATCTTCCGCGCGCTCCAGCCCAAGGCGTCGGAAAGAGAAATCCAACGTGATGCTTGACAGAGATTCTTCTTGAACCGCCAACCCCGAGGGAAACGGCTGGGTATTGAAAATAATTCTAGGGGTGGATTCTCATCGTTCTTTTCAAAATCCTGGCGCTTTCCCTGGGTTCCTGGAGGTTTGCTGGAAAGATTCGGATCCCTGGATCTGAAGGGACCCCTAGAGTGGTGGGCATTGAAGCCCCAGCACCTACTGCTTCAACCATTGGACGGCCTAAGATGGCTTTTGCAGCTTGTGGCGGGACCTTTCTGAAAAGCGTTGCTGCTGCAAAGACCTTGCTCAAAAAAGCTCAAGAGACAAGCATTCCTGCGCATGAACCAACAACCTTCATTTGCAAGATCCGAATCTGTTGGGGAACAGATTTGCCTTTTCGGGTTATTGCGCAACTTTGGGGAGTACACATTTCAAAGACCACCCATTCTGGAGACTCCCTGTTGCCAATACCCTCGTTGTTTGGTTGGTATTTTGACCAACCAGGCTTTCCAACCCCAGGCACCCACTTGCCGACTCTTGCAGGACCGCACCTTCATTTCCCTGTCGGATCCAGATGAGGAGGAGAGAGCTGGTGGAACTATCTGGGGTAACCCTTCTGTTGGCAGATTTTGAAGGGAACCTCAAAGAGAACCAACAGGACACCAAATGGAAACTGAAAGGAAACCGCAAAATTCAGGGCGTCCCTCGTGAGACGCGCCCATCCACTCTGTCGCGGGTGTGCGCGCTCTCTTTCGCGACGCTCTCCGAGTTGTGCGTTCTCGAGGAGCCGAACATGGAGCGGGCCTGGCCCCATTTGCAGATTGTCTACGAGTTCTTCCTGCGGTTCGCGCGGAGCTCGGCGGCTTCTTTGGGGAAGATGGTTGCCCAGCAAGACATGTTTCAGCTGAACGCCCCTTGGATTGAACGGTCGAAGCCTTTTGGTTTCCTTTTTCGCGTTTGAACACCAGGCCCTCAGCTGGGAAGGCGTGTGAAGTGCCGCGATCCTGGCGCGAGGTGGTGTCCAATGAAGTTGACCCCAAGGCCGGGCGGCTTGATCCACCGCTGTGAGGAGAATCGAGCAGCGCGGAAACTCCCCACAAAAGGATCATTTTGGGCGGTTTGGCCCCGACGTGGTGAATTTTGGCATGGTTTTAAAGGATCACCAAAGGGACATCCACTATTTTGGGGACCCCAAAACAAACACACCCGTGTAAACAGCAATAATGGACCATAATAAAAGTTTTGCCGAGTCGGCTCGGGTTTTATCAGCTCTCTTGACGCAGGTTGCAAAAGTCTCCTTGAACACGGACTTCATAATGCAGATGACTGGAGCTCAGGTCAGCATGCGTTTTTCCCCCCCCTAATTGCGGACCTGCCGTCATTATTTGTATGTGCTTTCCGGACGGGTTGCATCTTGCAGCCTAAGGGCCTGAACAACTACACATCATTCCCCTACGGTTCCATGAGAACGATTTGTTGGTTTGAGCTTACCCGGAAAATCTCATGTTCGTCACTTTGGTCCTTTGTGGCATATGTGGGTTCAGAGAAGCAAATCTTTTGGGTGCCAAGCTTGAATTATCGAGGCCCATCTCGCGGTCTCGTCTCAGGCTAGAGCTCTTCGATTCAGATGATCCCCGCGAGCGGGTGCGCTTCCGACTCGAAGCCTCGCACGGCCAAGTTGGAGGAAAAAAACTGGTTTTGGGAAAGGGGCCGCTTTCTGTGAGTGGCCAAGCAACCAATTTCAGGTCCTTGCCCCCCAAAGGAAAGTAACAACAACGTCGACCAACAGGAGTTTTGATGAGACAAGGTGATGGAGGATGGGATTTTAGGAAGGGCCTGCTTACTGTGAGACGGTGGCCTTGTCCTGCCTCGCTCTGGCAACGTGTTTGGTGCGCGGCTTTGCCATTGTGCAGGACTACTTGAAGATGATCTTGCACAGAATCTACGGCAAGTTCATGACACTGCGAGCCCCAATTCGCAGAGCAATCCAGAATGCCTTCTACAAGGCACACACACACACACACGGGCCTCGTGTCACTCAGCTGGCAACATCCCTTCCGCAGGGGAGTGCCCGGACAGGTCCTGTACGAGAGCGAGATGTACAACGGCGTAGGCCAGGTTTTTCTTTGGTGCATTGTGCTTGGATGCTAGGACTTTAACTTTTGCCAAATAATGGGTTTTCCATTAAACCACCAACAGTTAAACACTTTTAGTAGGGGAGCAGAAAGCAACCGAGTTTTCTGGGTCGTTTCGAGACGTTCGGAGGCACGCTCGTGTGCGGCAGGTGAGCTCCTGGAAATCATGGGCAGCATCATCAACGGTTTCGCGTTACCTCTGAAGGAGGAGCACAAGGAGATGCTTTCAGACCAGATCCTAGGTGCGAACCGAGTGATTGAATCTTAAGGTCTACGTGGCTGATCGTCCCGTCTTTCAAAGAAGCGTCCGAATCTTCGGGGAGCCCAAAAGCTGAGTTGGTTTCCTCTTCCCTTCTAAGCTCCTTTCCTTGGCCCGGGAAATCCAATCCAGCAAGCTTACCTCGAGGTTTTGACGTGTCGGCTTTCTCTGCAGACCACGTGTCACCCAATTCCGGACCAAACTCCTCAAGGCGCCTCAAAACTCCCACCATGTTCCCACGAGATTGGCCATCTGGCCTGGATCCCAAGGCGGGGTCTGACGTTTTGGTTTGGATCGGGATGTGGGTGTGGGTCAAAAATAGTGTAACCCCAAAATGGCTTGCCCTGGTAAATGGAAACAAGGACTAAAGCCAGCAGTCGCCTGGTGGCAATATTTTGACCCATACCCGCGTGGCCAAGTCAGGACTTCCTGATTCGGGCCGGAGCCCCAGGGCAAGCCTAACGCCCCTTCGACGGCACGGGCGAAGCTTTGGATCCCATTTGGCGAAGGAGCTCCCGGGAAGTTTCTCTGCCCAAGGTCCGCAAAATGGGTGTCTGTTGGCTTTACGTGTCACGACGAACCCTCAGGGTTCCCACTTCAGAGTGGTTGCCCTTCCAGGGAGCCTGGGACCTCAGGTCCTCAAAATGGGTGTCTGTTTGGTTTAAACCCCAATCTTCCCACTTGGCCATGCATAATGGCTCCATTTTGGGGTGGAACATCCATTTACCACCTTTGATGTTCACCAGACGTGGGCTTTGACCCACAGCCACTTCCGTGTGTTTGCCCTACCCGCCCTACCCGGGCTGAGCTGAGCCGGGGCCTCAGGCGCTGATCCCGCTGCACAAGATGAAGTTCCTGGCGAGCTTCCACCAGCAGCTGTCCTACTGCATGTCGCCGGGGCCCCAAGGCTGCCGCACTTTATGCTTCTAATAGCACAACATGCTGAGAAGAGCAACCTAGCCTTAGGTGCCGGGGCCAGCCCAGGACAGGTTTTTAGGTTTATTAGGTACCCTCTCAGCACTTTTTGCTCTCCAGCTAGGGGATGCCTGCCGATTTGTTCCAACACTGCCAAGGCGTTCCAACTCACTGCCCAAAGGAAACCCGCCAAACAGCATCTGCTCATGTTCTATTTGAAGGCAAACGCCCCACTTGACCCCTCCTAGGTGGGAAAGCAGAGTTCGCACTTTCCGGACTTCCCTGAACCCCCCCCCCCTGTTTTGACGTGCGCACTGCTTTCTTTTGTTTGTCGGCGGGTTGGCATCTTTACAAAAGCTTGGTTGCAACCCAACTGATCAAAGAGCTTCGCCCAAGGGCTCTGAGTGATTCTTGGGGGCCACAACGGGTTCCGACCATGGTTCCATTTTTTGACTACCCCGGGGTAGACTTAGCCCTATGGGAGGCTCATTTCCCAAAAGGGAGAACCGGGTTCAAGTCTGCCTTGGAGTCAAACAACGGATCCCTGTCCCAACCTAACCCAACTATCAACCAGGCCCGAAACCACCCCAGCCATGAACCTATCCTAAAACCTCAGCCAATCCTAGGCCAACCAGACCGGTTTGTCGGCAAGCGAGGCAGTTTGTGATGAAAGACCCACAGTTGGCCTATGTCATCATCGCTGCGCTGCTGCGGTACTGGCCCGCCACGATCACGTCCAAGCAGGCGCTAGCATTCAAACGGCGGCGAATGGTTTGCCGCCAATCGGGATACTTTGGGCATTTTCTGTGGCTGGTTTCCTTTTGGTTTCCCGCAAAAGCGTCCAACTAGTGTACCTCTACTTTGAGAAGCCTGTGGCACAGGAAGTGACCAACCCTGTTTGGGTGGTTCGGCTTTCGGTTCCTTATGCTGGTTTTCGGTTTTCGGTTTTCCGGTTTTCGGCTTCTTTGGATTTTGGGCTGTTCAAATGGGATGCAAGGCGCAAGACATGGGCTGGACGTTCCCAGCTTGCAGTTCGGAAGCCCGCGGAAACCTGGGGCCAAGTTCTGGGGACTTGGGCCGAAGCCGGGCAAAAGGCGGGCCAACCAGTGGGTTGATCAAAAGGTTCTTTACATGGAATGACCATGGGAGAAACCACCAAAAAAGATGACATTTCCCAAACATTGCCCCCATCAGTTTGGGGGCAGGATTATTGATCAACCCCCATAAGTAATCTTGAGAAGAGATCGAGTCTCAAATCATAGCTCAGCAACCCTGGAGTAGGTGGCTCTAAGACTAGGTTTCGTATCGGCTTTCGTAGCTGCACGAAGCTTAACAGGTTGGTTCTTGAGCGGTCTTTAGACCTTTTGCACCAGAACTCCTAGGGATTCAATGGATGCACAGAAACCTTCACCAGTTGGTAGGCTGTCCATCCCAGATTTTTTGAGTTTTATCCCTCCCAGCGCAACATTTTGTCCATCAGTTTGTCCGGGAGGTGCTCTTCCTCAATGAGTTGGAGGAGCTTTTGGAGCTCACGAAGCCTCCGGAATTCATCCGATTGCAGGCTGGGGGGAGCGAGGGTTTTGGCAAAGAATTTGGCCGTCGGCTAGCTCCCTGGGCCAAACACTCGTTCTCTTCAGAAACTGCCCGTCCCCACTTTCCCGTGTTTGCAACCAGTTTGTGAAGGGACGGATCCAAATGAACAGTCTAGAGAGGCTACGCCTGGCACAGGTCTGAGCAAATGAAGGATAAATTGGCTCGGGATCCCTGTTTTTCGGGCTTCGGCCCATCCTCTCCAGTCGGTTTGGGGTGAAACAAACTTTGTGTGATCTTGAATGCACTTCGTTTTGGTCCGGATGGGATTTGCCCCCACTTTTTCGGTGCGGTTCTTGCAGTGCGAAAGTGGATGGCACTCCCGAATCAAACTATCATCTGGGGGTCAACTGCGGGTCGCCGAAGCTAAGTAGCTTTTCGGGTTTGAAAGGAGCAGCTGCAAGCTTTGGGGGGCACTGCAGACCATTGGTCTTTGAATCAAACCATAGGGGTTGTTTTCTTGTATATCCCATGCCCCAGGATGATTCGGCGCAATTGGGGGTGGACAACCATCAAAACAGAGTTTAAGACATTGACAAGAATCATCAAGGTCGTTGCCCGGGTTGCTGAAAACCATTTGATGGCCATGAAAGGCCATCTTGGCTTCACCTTTCGGATGCGCGGGAGTCCTGCGGAGCCAGGGGCCGCTCTTCCAGCGAATCGCGCAGTGCATCATGTGCCCCCACTTCCAGGCCCGATGCTCCTGGGTAACCGGACCCGAGTGCAAGGGACACCAAAAGCTTCACGCAGGTTACGTGCGGCAATGTCATGGCCGTGGGTCAACACCAATGGTACCATTTTGGGGTAGGTGCACCACCCATTTTAGTCTATTTAGTGCGGATTGGGATGTTCACTTGGGGTACGGGATTTTGACCCATGTGGTTCCCTTTGCTTTCCATAGCCAGACAAAGGGTACCCTCCAAAAAGTTGGACACACCCAGGTAGTTTGAACATGTAACATGGGGGTTTTATTGCTTGACCTTGTTGGTTGAAATCGCCCAATTGAAAGGACATTTTTTGCATCCAGCTCTATTCCCCATTCGGCAATGACGTGCCATGGTTGGAAGACCCTCAAAGAGACTTGGTGGACACAAACCCCCATGTGCGGGTTGATCAAAAGGTCCTTTACATGGGGTGAACATTGGGGAAAACACTTGCACCACTCAACGGGAAGCGTTTCCCATGGTCATTTTGGGGCCAGGAATTGTGATCCATCCTCATGTACATGATGTTCAACAAAAGGTCCCAAAATAACTATCCTACCCATGAAGATACAATAGGCCTTTGAGCGGGGTGATGTCCGAGACAGACATCTACTTGGAAGCGTACAGTGGCATTTTTGTTTTTGTTTTAACTCTCTGACATTCAGAAGAGGGTTATCGATTTTGAGACATGTGTGACTTCGGATGGATCAACCTGGTCGATGAATTGGGGGCGGGGGTTCTACCAAAACATGATCCGGATTTTTTCTTAAATGGCACAGCCAAGAAACCAAGATCAACCAAGGGGTTGACGCATTCCCCAGGTTCCGGTTCCAACTATACAGTATATCCCTTTCGTTCTGTTTTCTGCACCCCAGAGGTTTAGGGGTAGATTTTCCAGTGGCGTCACACCGAATTCGACGAGCTCCGAATGTGAGGTGGCGGAGCGAACGCTCTTCCTTTGGAACAACGACTACATTGTGCGCCTGATCACTTCCAGCCGGAAGGCCTCGACGGCGTCGACAAATGCACATGGCAGGGGGGATGTGTCCATACTTTGGACCGTTGGATGCTTCAGGACGAACGTCTCTTTGGTTTCAACTTGGCTAGATGAAGGTTGGTAAGGAACAGTCGCAACCAGAACTAGATGCAGCCGCCCTTTAGTTGTTTACATGGTTTTGGTAGACAGTTTTAATACCAGGTTTCGATCGTGACTCACGAGGCGCTGTTTCCGGTCGTCATCTCCGCGCTCTATACCAATTCCAAGGTGCATTGGAGCAGTCAGACTCTCAGTTCCACTCGGGGTGGGAAGCCAAAAGGAAAACCAGCAGTTTGGGGGGCCACTCAGTTGGTAGAGACCACATGTCAACGTCGGATCAACACCCCGAGGACCACAATCAGAGGAACCGCCCTTGAATTGACTCGAAATTTACATGAGTCCGGGCTTTGATTCGCACGCCTGCAAGTGCGGCAGCAATGAAACCTGGGCATTTGGAGGTCAGGGGTCATTCCCAACCATAGAGAAGCCACTCAGTTTGGCTACGGAACCTGAGATGCCGTGCACGGGCTCACCTTCAACGTGCTGAAGTTGTCCCGGGACTCAGCCGATGGACCTGTCGCCCCTCCATGGGCTTCGATTTTTCATGGGCCTCAAGAGCCCCCACTCCAAATGGCTGTGGGTCAATACCAATGGTACCATTTTGGGGTAGGTGCACCACTCATTTTACTCTATTTTAGTGGGGATTGGGATGTTCACTGGGGGTACGGGCTTTTGACCCATGGCCAAATGAAGGCCACAAGCTTCTTGGAAAAGGGTTGGATGGGCCCGTCTGCGCCTTCGCCTGCGCCTGCACCAGGAAAGACTTGAACCAAGAGCCCTTTGGTGGGTCCCTTCCCTTCCCAGGTGAGCGCTTTGCAAAGGATAGGACACTGCTGCAATTTGGTAAGGACCCCAGATTTTATGACATGATGAGTGATATTTGTTGCTCGTTGCGAGTGTAGTACGCAAAGAGAGCAGTGCTTTGGTGCCAAGGGAACAAATGGTACTGGTGTTGACCCACAGCCAGATGGCACTGGTTTATTCCATCTCCAGGGCCATCTATATTCCCAAAAGCTTACCTTGGTGCCAGACATGATCTGTTTCTGACTGAGGACTTTTAGGGGAAGTTCGGATTTCCACGTGAAAGGCACAGACCGCGAAAATTATGCGGGAGTATATAATATGTATAATATATATATATATATATATATATGTGTCCATGAATAGCAACATCACTGTATATATATATATATATATATATATATGTGATACATATACATTCGTATGTGTTGTCCAACTCTTGAGAAACCTTTTTCTCCTTAGCTCTATTCTACAATAGGGGAAATGCATAATAGGTACATGAAGGGTAGTAGAACTGGCCCTACAGGATATATTTGGGCCAGAGAGTCATTTTTACTTAGAGGATCCTTGTGGTAAAGCAGGTGGTTTTCGATGTATCCTTGAAAGAACTCAGAAAAAGAGATTGTGGGTACAAGACAAGATGTGTCTATTTATGGTGAACTTCTAGGTTTCACTCAGTCATTGAACCGCTTGCGTTGGACTAAGGGTATGCCCAAAGTAGAATGCACTTGAGGGAGCAAGCTTATAATGCAACGTCAAAATACAGAGTAGAACACAATGATGCATTCCGTCTAGTGCACTGCATGTTGTATGGCTGTGGGTCAAAATCATTTTTTTGGGGGTAGGTGCACCACCCATTCTACTCTATTTTAGTGGGGATTGGGATGTTCTCTGGGGGTGCGGGCTTTTGACCCATGGCCATTTATTGTTAGACATTACGTTTGCTTTCAACAACTTGAAGGCGCACACTTCCAAGCTGTACTGCTTTTCTTCGCGGAGCGCTCCAAACTGAGCAGCTCAAGCCAGCTGGGGCTGCGAGCTTTTATATGTGTATATATATATATATATCGGGTGGGTGCCGGGTACCAACCAACTCCCAAGAGGCACTCAACTCAAAAGTCCTTTTTCAATGAGGTTGATGCAGGCGGATCCGCAGCTTTTCGACGAGTGCCGGGCTGCTTAGGCTCCGAAATGGCCAAACCCGTTCGTTCCATTGGTTTGGCTTCCTTTAGGGTGTGTCTGTTTTTCAGGGACCCCCCCAATTGGCTTCTTGGTTTTCCTCTTGGTTTCCCTTTCAAGCCACAAAAAAGGTGACCCTCAAGAACGGCACACCCTCTCTCGGTTCCCAAGAAGCCAACTTTGTATCCTTTCGGAGTCTCCGGAGCTGTGTGAAGCACTGAGGGGCTGGTTGCGGCTGGTTTGAGGGAGCGGAGGCCACTGGAGCCACATGCTCAAACCCCGGCCGGGGATAGATGAAGGTTAGTAAGGGACGATCCCAACCAGAAATAGCTGCGGATATCCGCCTTCTTAACCCTGTACATGGTTCTGGGATTACGACCATTTTAGTAGGTTTTGATTGCGACTCACTTGCACGCTTAAAACGTTTAGCATGTGAGGCTCAGCCAACCACAAGGAAGCCTACGAGGAAGAGGAGAGGCCCTTCCCTCAGCCGAAGGTGAGAGTCAGGCGCCCTGAAAATTGGGTGCTGAACTCATGCCTCCCCTCGCACATTTCCGCGGCGCCTGTTGCAAATGTCGCTTCAGAGCGTGTTCTTTTTGCTACCCTTCTTGGGCCTCGAGGGCCAGCGTCAAAGGAAAACGCCGGAAGGACGACCATGTGAATCAGGGCTGGGCAGGTTCTTAGGGGAGAAGTTGACACGGCGGCTTCCTGTGATTGGTTTTTGGCCGATTGGTTTCTCCGATCGAAGAGTGGGGTGCTCGGGCGCTCGGGTAAGGTTGGAAGTGGTACGACAGCAGAGATGGGCAACTCTCAAGGACCGAGCCGTGGGAACTTGGCACGGGCTTTGAAAAGATGCGTGCCAGAGTGAAAAGAACTGGTCACTTGGGATGGAAGAGTTGGGAAATGATTTAAATGAAGGATTTCCCAACATACATCTTAAAACAGATGCACTATGACAAGGACTTGGATGATGGGGGTTGGGGAACTTGATGACTTGGTGTGTAAGCATATCTTAGCAAAAGGTTTTGCTTTTAGCCCTGGCCGGATGCAAGCAACCATGAGAGCACAACAACAGCAACGTGTCGTTGACGTATGTTTCTCGCGCGGGAACTTCACCAGGTTCAGGTTTGAGCTCTTTTTTTTGCCACCAAAGGGCCCACTAAGTTCCACGTTAGCAGAGTCAAGCCGGTCTTTCATCAACCTGGCACTTCCTGGGTCACCCGAAGGGCTTCCAACCTGGAACCCTCCCAAAAAAGAAGCTTGTTGTAGTTCTAAGATTATGGAAGGGAGCGTACCTTTTTGGGGGCAGCCGCGCTCGCGCGCGCTTGCGCTACTGAGGAGCTTCATGCGAAGCGCCGCCCGTAGGTTGCTCACTGAGCTGGCGCGGGTGCGGGCCAGCTAAAACACTAAGCAAAGGGGACGGGGGAAGACTTGTTGGGGTCTTTGGAGCGGTGGTTTACAGGGAGGCCACGATTTTTTAAGCAGCTTCTTGGTGTCCGCTATGTGCAAACCCATGTGTTTTCAAGGAAAATCCCCCAATTTCATGGGACCTTCTCGACCTAAAACCCACAGGGTCTCATGCATCGTATTGCTTTGCCGGAGGGCGACTTCGCGCAAAGCGGGCCTGAGCCACGGTGAATCTGTCCGGTTGCACTTTTTCAGGTATCCAGGATCCCCTAATTGGTGGTTTGGATTGGGTAAATGGGGGATTTGAAGGTCTGGTTCTTGAGGGTTTGATTGGGGGACTCTGCTTGTCCACCAAACTGATCCAATCCAAACCAACAATTACAGGGAAACTGACAGCTTCTCCAGTTGTTTGGGCGCGGATTTCTTGAGATGCTAAAGATTGACCGTGGCTCGCTCGTGTGCTATTCACATCGCACCCAACTGGCGGTTGGCCACGGGGCCCGTCTGGCGTGGTGTCGCCACGCTAGGAGTATTGGGCTCAAGACCCTGAAAAAGGGGTAGCCTAGGACTCGTCTCACGAAGGGAAAAAGAAGTGATGTCACAGGTGGATCGATAACCATAGCCTCCGAGACAGCGACATCTCCAACGACAACCTTACGAAGGAAAAGGATGGTGCAGATGGAGATATGGGGTGTAGTTTGAGAGTGAGGCACCAGAGTACATCAGTAACACAGGGCTCCTTAAAAGATACATTTTGCCCATTTGAAACATGGCTTTTTCGACCAACATAAAGGGACACCACCATTTACAAGGCAATGTTCAGGTGTATAATGCAAGGATCCCTGTTAAGCCAGGCATGCCTGGCACGCCTGTTTTGAGTTTAAGTGCGCGGGCTGGGCAGAATCAGTGCAGGTTCACCTGGGAGAAGACGCAGAACTCCGCGATTTCAGGGCTGTCACGTCTAGCACACCCTCTTGGCCTGCACCGTTGGTCTTAGAAGTTGTGACCCTTTCTGGGCTTGGGGCAAGGTCCAAAGGACTGGGTGAATTATATGGCGAATTATAACGTTTATTTGGGAAATGGCCCCCCCTACCCACCTTATTTCAGGTTGGTGAAATATGATAATTCACCCAGAAAGGAGCCACTGGCATTTGGAGGTAGAAACCGATTGGTCCGCTCAGCTGAAGTGCCCGGTCCTTGCCGCTCTTGGCTCGCGCCGCTCACGCCGCCATGCGTTTTCGGCAGTGCTTGACAGAGGAATGGCGCAGGCGACAGGCCTCAAGCTTCCGAACCGCATTTTCAGCTTCGCAGCCTGAGTACAGAAGCACAAACCTTTTTACATAGGAGTTGTATTTTTCAGGTCTACACACCTATTATTAATACTAGATTTGGTATATATATATGCACATAGTTCAAGGGTAGAGCTACGAGGTCTTGTCAGTATCTAAACCAGCCCCAGGGGCCCGGCCTGTTCATGGCCGCGAGGTGGGGCTTTCCGGGGATTTCGCGCTTTGGCGCAGAGTGGGGGCACCTCACTTGGGTCGGAACCCGCGGACTGGGGGCGGGGCGGGGGGGCCTGATGCTCCAAACCCAGTTCAGCATTTCGTTTTGTTTACGCTCTCCTGTTTGTCATTTGTGAAATCATGGGCCCAAATAGGAGGTTGCGTTGAAGAACCAGTGTCCCGGGAAAAAGGCACGATTCACCCAGGAAACCCATCTGGTTGGGCTTTGTTCTGGGGATCTTGAATGAGAGCCATGCGTCGCATTTTTCTCTGCCACCCCTCTTTGGTGAAGTAGGATGGTGGGACTGCCCTTTCCCATTGCAAGGGGCGGGAAAGGCAGCAGTGCAACGGTTTCTTAGACCTTTGAGAGCCGAGAAGCCGGAAGGGGCCGTGGTTGCACAGATTGCTAGAACTTCTACGCTTGCAGGAAACAGGGAAACCAAAACAGAGGCTCAATGTAAGTGGTAAAATCCATGGTCGAACCGCTGGAATCCCACCTGGTGGCATCCATTCAGGCGATGGTGTTGCGCTCGCCAACATTCCTGGTGGGTGCGGCACGCAGGTTTGGCGAAGTCTTTTGCTGCCGACGCACCACTTGGTGTGGCATCATACCCCCCCGAAGCCACTCGTTTGCAGAATATGTCTTTCTCTTTGGCCCTGTTTTTTTGGGCGCCATGACTGGGTTGGTTCTTGACCTGCCCTTGGAATCGTTTGAGTGGCAACGAGCGCCCCGAGCACGAGGCCGATTCTTTTCCATGGGAAATTTTCGTTCATAGTTTTGACCGAGGTCGGACGTCTTGTGGCATGTGGCACGAGGTTCCTCAAAAGTGGCAGACCCCCCATTCTTTCCAACCATCGTTATTTTCTATTTTCCATGGGTTTTTTGCAGGTTTTCTGGAAAGAAGGATCCCTGGAAAGAATGGGGAAGGTACCCCTAGATATTTGGTGGGTTAAAGGGAGGCCAAGGAGGGCCCGGATTTTGCGAAGCCTTGATGGCACTTGCAGCGGTTGCACAGCTTCCCGGCCCAAGAGGGTATCCAGCAGCCATGGGGCAGGCAGGGTATGCGGTTGTGAAGTTGGGCCGCCTGTTTCTGGGGCGAACGGAGAGACAAAAGGGACACCTGCCTTCTTTGGAGCACTCAGGCAAAGGGGATTTTCGCATCGGCTGAGAGGGAACCATAGGGGAGCCAAGCCACCAAACTTCTGGGTCTGCAGCATTTTTGGGGTTGAGAGCCTTGCAGCGAGCTCTCCCAGGATCTCGCCAAGGAGTGCGGCTGCGGCTATGGAGATGAGGAGGGCATGCAGGAGCAAAGGGTCGAGATCGCCCGGGGGCCGAGAAGCCTGGGCTCGCGCGCTTCTTTGGGGCGCGAGTTGGATGCTTCGCATTGGCGGGCTGGGTCGGTTGGTCGGGTAGGTGCTTCGTTGGCTTTCGTGCTTTGCTTTTGGCGGTTTGTTGTAGTTTTGGCTTCTCCACATCAGCTAGCATCACCGCCAGCCACTCTCAACCAGCATCCTAAACCTCCAAGCATGATCCCTAAACAAGCCCCAAGCAAACCTATACTCACCCTAAACCCGCCCGACATTAAACCAGCACTCAAGCATCCCTGAACCAGCCTAAGCCTACCATAACCGCCTAAACCCACCATAAACCACCATTAAATCGTCCCAAAACCAAGTCTAAACCAGCCAAACCTTCAGCAGCCCTAAACCAATCCCAAACCAGCCCGAAATCCACCCTAAACCAGCCCTAAACCCAAACAGCGCACGATGCAAGCCCTAAACCAACCTGAAACCCACCCGAAAGCATCCCTAAACCAATCCTAAACAACTAAGTCAAACCGTCCCTAAATCTGAACTCCACCGGAAACCAGCCAGAAACCAGCCCTAAACCAGCCCTAAACCAGCCCTAAACCAACCCCAAACTAGCCCTATGAAACCAACTCTAAACCCACTGTAAACCAGGGCTAAACAATCCCTAAACCACCAAAAACAAACCCTAACAAGCCCCAAGCAAACCCTATACCAAGCCTAAACCACCCGAAACCAAGCCTGAACCCTAAATCCATACACCAGCACTACATCATTCCGTAAACAGGCGGATCACTTCTGGGCGGGATTCAGGGTGAGGTTGCTGAATCCGAAGTCGACCTTACTCTCTCTTCCCCTTTGGCAATGCAACTTATTTCTTGTCTCGAAGGCAGAAGAGACTCAAAAGAGGTCACCTGGCTTTGGGTTCCGATTGAGTTAGAAGCGAAAACAGGGATTTGGGCCCTTCACTGGGCTTCGGTTTCTGGGTGTCTTGGCCAAGGTAGACCTTGTGCCGAGCCTGAAGACAAATGCACCCACACACACACAGACGTGCCCATGTGCTGTTCTCAGTTTCTCGCTGGAGATTGGAGCTGAGGATCAATCCGCTGTCAGGGGAGCTACTGGCGCGCAGCCCAGCTTTCGATCACGCGAGATCACGCGCGAGCTGTTCACCCCCTATTTTGCCAACCCTTAGGGATTTTTTCAAGTTAGCTGCCAGCGCCTTTGCTCTTTTATGTACTTGTAGGGCCAGGGTACGTGAGGTAGGTTATAGGCCACCAAAGCTACGGCAAGTTCCCTTTCTGTGCGTGGCAACCTTGGTTTTAGCAATCGCTTACGTACCCCCTAAAGTAGCCCTCACGAAACGCTTGTCACCCGATCTTCCCCTGGCCAGGTTTCATCCCAAGAACGCTCGTTGGAAGGGACAAAGAGCACCAAGCAAGGTTTATCCCGCGGCAAGTGGAGCCTTGGGGAAAGCATGTTCAAATCAAAGGAGTGTGATGCTGCCTTTACGCCTCTTGCCTATCAGTGCCTTTCCCCATTTTTGTTGAAGACTGGACAGAAAATGAGCTCCAAGCAAGACCCGCCATTTGAAGGGCAACCACGTAAACATGTTCGTGTCTTCCTCCTTTTGTTCTCCTTTTCCCGGTTCCATGATCTTGGTTTTCATTTTATCAGGGAGCCTTCGACTCCAGCTCTTTCGAGGCAGCAAGTTTGCGGGCAGCCCTCTATCCCAGGAAGATGAGGCCTGCGATTGCTCTTGGTTCTTTGCCGGTTGGCCGCGGTCGTTTTACATTTTAACATCCTTTTTTGGCTTGTCTGTTCGTTTTGTTGTCTGTAAGTTTGCATGTTTGCAAGTTTGTCAGTTTGCAGGCTTGTCAGTTGTTAGTTTGTTAATTTGCTGATTTGTGACAGTTTGTCAGGTTGTCAGTCTGTCAATTTATTGGTTTGTCAGTTGTTTAGTTTGTTAGCTTGTTAGTGTGTTAGTTTGTTGATTTGTTGCAGTTTGTCAGGTTGTCAGTCTGTCAATTTGTTGGTTTGTCAGTTGTTTGTTCGTTAGCGTCAGCTTGTTAGTGTTAGGTTGCTAGTCTGTTGATTGGCTGGCTGATTTGTCGGTTACTCGGTTTTGTCTGTTAGTCGGTTAGTCGGGTAGCTTGTTGATTTGTTAGTTTGTTCATTTGTTAGTTTGTTAGTTTGCCAGTCTGTCTGTTTGTTAGTTTGTTGCTTTGTTGCTTTGTTGGCTTTATTAGCTTGTTAGTGTGTTAGCTGCTAGTGTGTTGATTGGCTAGTTGATTTGTGTGTTTCTTGGGTTTTTCTGTTAGTCGGTGAGTCAGTCTGGTAGCTTGTTGATTTGTTAGTTCGTTCATGGTTAGTGTGTTAGTTTGTTAGTTGCTAGCTTGCTAGCTGGTTAGCTTGTTAGCTTGATAGCTTGTTAGCTTGTTAGCTTGATAGCTTGTTAGCTTGATAACTTGTTTGACTGTTAGCTGGACTGTTGGCTGGTTAGCTTAAGAGCTTGTGTGAGAGAGCGCGAGTTTGTTAATTTGTTGGTGTCTCGGGTCGTCATCGTGTTAGCTTGTTCGTTTGTAAGTTTGTTAGTTTGTCACTTTGTGCTACCTTGCTAATTTGTTAACCAGTTAGTTCCCTAGTTAGCCAGCCAGCCAGCCGGCCGGCCGGCCGGCCAGGCAGTCAGTCAGTCAGTCAGTCAGTCTGCATGTTTTGGGCTGTTTGGCACCACAGGCAGCCACACACAGGCACCCGCACACCATCTTTGCAGGTCTTGTGCACCTGACTTGCGCAGACCATGTTTACATGTGATTTCGGCAGAGTCACATGCATGACTTCATTCGATCATCCCCGCCATCGTTGCTTCTCAGACACCTTGCTCCCTGTCAAACCCTCAGTGCCTGACCACTCGTGAACGTAGCGAGCGCCATCCTGGAGGATGACGGCTGTTCAAAGGTGCCCTCAGTCCTGATCGGCAGCCACTTCACGCGGAAAAGGCTCACGTGATCTCCTGGAGGTTCAAGTGGGGCGAAGCACCCAGTAATTATGACAAAAGGTCACCTTGCCCAAGGCTGCCTCTTGAGTTGAAGCGTTCACTGAGATCACCCAGAGCAACCTGACTTCCGTCAAGGCCAAGGCTCCAGTTGCCCTCTTTGCTGACAGTGCAACTTGGGCGGAAGTGGCAGCTTCCGTGAAGATTTCCATCCGGGTCTCACACCAGAGAAGGATTTGTGCTAAGCAGCTGGGGGCCGGGTGCAGTGGATGTGGCACAGGATCTTGGGCCCGTCTCGACCAAGAACTTTGGATGCTTTCTCAAAGATCGTAAGATCGTAAGCCATGATTCCCCCTGTGTCCCGCTTTGGGAGTTTCGGAAGACCTGCAAAGGTCTTCCCGCTGACGCGGTAAGAGATCCGCGAAAAAGGCAAAACCGGACTTTGAAGAGAGGCTTCCATTTCGTGTGGCTTGAATGCAGCGCAGCGCATAGGGGTGGTGGCTTGGAAAGTGCCAGGCCAGAGGACCATAACCCTGTTAGTTTGTGAGCTTGCCAGGCTCTTAGCTTGTGTATTTGTTTGTTTGTTTGTTTGTTTGTTTGTTTGTTTGTTTGTTTTTTTGTTGCCTAGTCAGTTTGCGTGTCTGTTTTTTTGTGTCAGTCGCCATTCAACTGCTTGTTTGTTTGTTAGTTTGTTAGTTTGCTAGTTTTCTATTTTGGTTCTTCGCTAGGTTGTTAGTTTGTTAGTTTGTCAGTTACTTGGTTTGTGTGTCTGCTTGTGAGTTAGTTGCTTAGTTTGTCTGCCTGTCCGTCTGTTTTTTGCCGGCCTGGCTCAGCGTGTGTAATGCAACAGACACTATGGTTTGTAGTCGATTGTTGTTATGTACATTGGGAGGACATGGGGGGGGGGCAACCCAAATGCCCCACAACAGCCAGGGAGGATTATCTTGTCGGAACTGTTGGAGATCAAATCATATTGCTCGCGGGTCATGTAGATATCTACGCTTCTCGCAGGCACGATGGTGCCTGCCATATCATAGGGCGTGCACTCAGCGAAGAGAATCAACAAAAGAGGTTTTGACAGTTGAACAGTGACACCGGCTTCGTCACAGGAACATAAACAAGTGTCCATGCACACATGCACGTAGATATATAGGTCCATGTGCGCAATTGCAGAAGGAATCTACAAAACACAGATTTACCCTCACGTGCAAAATAACATCTACACACGCGTACAACATACACGCATGTACCTGTGAATGAGCATACTCCTCCAGACACACACACACACAACACACACACACACACATACACACACACTCACGCACACGCACCCACCCACGCGCAAGCACACGCGCACGAAATGCACACGCGCACGCGCACGCGCACGCGCACGCGCACGCGCACGCGCACGCGCACGCGCACGCGCTCGCACACACACACACAGACTCGCGCGGTACATCTACATTTGCATTTTTTCGCGTCGGACTTATGCAAGGAGTTCTTCGTGGCACCCCCAGCTGCAGCCTCAGAGCTCCACGCGGCCGTTGCGAGTTTCGGAATTTCGGTGACATTCTCCAGCTGATTCTGCCAGTTCCCTGGAGACTTTTTGGAGCTTCCTTTGACTCAAGAGAAACAGTTGAGCCACATCAGGCTTGCATGAACAGTCCCAGCCACTTTGTCGCATGTCCCTGATTCTTCTATGGATTTTGGGTAATTTCATTCCAGGATTTGATTTGCCTGTTGCCGAGTTGTGTGAAAATATCCACAAATCTAGCAGATCTTCCATCTGGTCTGGGCGTTTGGGCAGAGGGAAGGAAGGTCCCGAACTTGTCCGAACTTCAATTGGGGCGAGTGTGGGCTTCTGAGGCTGTGAATCCTTGAGATCTGACTTGTCCAACACCAAGGTTTTAAAGTTTCGAGTCATTGTGTTGCGCTTTGTGGTTTTTGCCAAGCCAAGAGTTTGAACGCTTCAATCCCCAGCTCACGAATGTGGCCTGAAAAACCCCAAAAACTTCCGCACCTCTCTGGGCTTTCCAGGGTCGTTTCTTTTCAAGGCCGAGCCACAGCCCGCGGCGAAACCCGCAGCGAAGCCCGCGGCGAAGCCCGCGGCGAAGCCCGCGGCGAAGCCCGCGGCCGCCGCCGCCGGCGCCTCCAGCGCCGCGTCGCCCAGCTCGAAGCCAAGGCGCATGGCGTGCATGCGGAGCACCCCCGAGGTGGATTTGAACCGGCCGTCTGTTTCACCATTCATTTGGGTTTGCGTCGGCCGTCTTGCTGTTTAAACACGTTTTGCCCAACAGTACTTAGCTGGTTGGTGACCGTGGTTATAGCTTACCCATCAAAGGCACATGGACTTCCAATGGTCCACCCATTTCCCGCAAAATCTCCGAAACTGTGTTCGAAGTCTACTCGTTGATTGGCTATGGTAACTGATGGGTGATGACTACAAGGGCGGCGAGGCCGCGCCAATTCACCACAAAGGGGAATTACTTAGCCCGGGGTATGGCTTGCCAAGTAAACCCAGGGTTCCCTTGAAAAATCGACACCCCCGCGTCTAAGTGGATCACGGCCACAACCCGAGTTTTCCGGAGCCGTGTTCACCAAGTACTGGGGCCCAAAACATGGGTACAGTACCGACTCCACCCGCGGTTTTTGCGGTGCCCCCCTCCTTTTTCGGGGGCCTGCCCTAGTTTTTAGGGTGTGTGTGACTCCAGGTACCCGTTTTTTTGTTGCCAACCAAAGCCGCCACATTCCGCGGCGAGGGTTCGGTTTTCTCCGGAAACAGAGGGATGATCCGCGCCAGGAAGATCAGCTTGGAGACGATCCTGCGAGACCTGGAGGCAGAGCTTCACTTCTCTTGGCTGGCATGTGGTTTTAGCGGGCGACCAGGTTTTGCAGGGGATTTGTGGAGCGCCCCTCAGAATTGTACCCCTCAGGAGATTCCAAAGCTCTAAGGCCTGCGGAAGACTTAGGTAGGTTTTCCGCGATTTCTTTGAGAAGCGGCAGGCTTTGCATGAAAAGTACAGCCTCCTACAATGCCAGGGTTATGCCTCATGCCCGAAATCAGTGAGTATTTGGAGGGGAATATGAGCAAGCAAACGTTGCTGGTGGTTTACAGAGAACATGTGGCCCTTGTTGGGAACAAAGGATATTGCGCGTGGGTCACTTGTCGACCAACCCCCCCCCCCAAAAAAAAAAACACCGAAGATGAATGGGGGAGGTCGCAATCCGGGTATCCGACATGGGTTGCCAAGCGGGTTTCCATTTGAGCCCCAAGATCGACTCGAGCCGACTGGTTGATCCTCAAAAGCACCCCTTGATCTTGGACCCACAATTGGATGTTCAACTCACCTACGGCAAGTAGGTTGTAGCAAGGGTTGGGTAACTCGGGTAACAAGGGCCAGTTTCATTGCAATCGTGGCTATGACATACCCACCGAACGTCCCAGAGCTGTAGGTTTCTCAGGAACCCTGTTTTTGCCCAGATAGCTGAAAGCTATAGGGGTTCTAACTTCTAATAAAGAGGGGAAAGTGATTTGCGAGATTGAGGGCCGGGTGCTAGGGGGCATGCAGTTTGAGGTGCTGGTGGATGCTGCTTTGCGAGCTTGACGGCCGGGTGCTAGGGGGCATGCAGTTTGAGGTGCTGGTGGATGCTGCTTTGCGAGATTGAGGGCCGGGTGCTAGGGGGCATGCAGTTTGAGGTGCTGGTGGATGCTGCTTTGCGAGCTTGACGGCCGGGTGCTAGGGGGCATGCAGTTTGAGGTGCTGGTGGATGCTGCTTTGCGAGCTTGACGGCCGGGTGCTAGGGGGCATGCAGTTTGGGGTGCTGGTGGGTGCTGCTTTGCGAGCTTGACGGCCGGGTGCGGGCATGGGGTGCTGGTGGGTGCTGCTTTGCATGCGGTTTGGGGTGCTGCTGTGCTTGGGTGCTGGGGCTGGTGGGTGCTGCCTTGCGAGCTTGACGGCCGGGTGCTAGGGGGCATGCAGTGTGGGGTGCTGGTGGATGCTGCTTTGCGAGCTTGACGGCCGGGTGCTAGGGGGCATGCAGTTTGGGGTGCTGGTGGGTGCTGCTTTGCGAGCTTGACGGCCGGGTGCTAGGGGCATGCAGTTTGGGGTGCTGGTAGGTGCTGCTTTGCGAGCTTGACGGCCGGGTGCTAGGGGGCATGCAGTTTGGGTGCTGGTGGATGCTGTTTTGCAAGCTTGGGCAGCTGTGGGGGCTGGTGGATGCTGCTTTGCGAGCTTGACGGGGGCATGCAGTTTCGGGTGCTGGTGGACGAGCCTGGGTGCTGGGGGCAGTGCTGGTGGATGCTTGGGTGCGGCTGTGGCTGCTTGCGGCAGCTAGGGGCATGCAGTTTGGGGTGCTGGTAGGTGCTGCTTTGCGAGCTTGACGGCCGGGTGCTAGGGGGCATGCAGTTTGGGTGCTGGTGGATGCTGTTTTGCAAGCTTGACGGCCGGGTGCTATGCAGTTGGGGGTGCTGGTGGGTGCTGCTTTGCGGGTGCTACGGGGCATGCAGTTTGGGGTGCTGGTAGATGCTGCTTTGCGAGCTTGACGGCCGGTGGGGGGCTGCTGGTTTGCGAGCTGGCCGGCGAGCTTGACGGCCGGGTGCTGCGGGGGCATGCAGTTTGCGGGTGCTGGTGGATGCTGTTTTGCGAGCTTGACGGCTGGGTGCTGGGGGCATGCAGTTTGGGGTGCTGGTGGATGCTGTTTTGTTTTTGAGCGGCCGGGTGCTATGCAGTTTGGGGTGCTGGTGGGTGCTGCTTTGCGAGCTTGACGGCCGGGTGCTAGGAGGCATGCAGTTTGGGGTGCTGGTAGGTGCTGCTTTGCGAGCTTGACGGCCGGGTGCTAGGGGGCATGCAGTTTGGGTGCTGGTGGATGCTGTTTTGCAAGCTTGACGGCCGGGTGCTATGCAGTTGGGGGTGCTGGTGGGTGCTGCTTTGCGGGTGCTACGGGGCATGCAGTTTGGGGTGCTGGTAGATGCTGCTTTGCGAGCTTGACGGCCGGGCGGGGGTCTGCTGGTTTGCGAGCTGGCCGGCGAGCTTGACGGCCGGGTGCTCGGGGGCATGCAGTTTCGGGTGCTGGTGGATGCTGTTTTGCGAGCTTGACGGCTGGGTGCTGGGGGCATGCAGTTTGGGGTGCTGGTGGATGCTGTTTTGTTTTTCGAGCTGGCCGGGTGCTAGGGCATGCAGTTTGGGGTGCTGGTGGATGCTGTTTTGCGAGCTTGACGGCCGGGTGCTGGGGGGCATGCAGTTTGGGCTGCTGGTGGATGCTGTTTTGCGAGCTGGCCGGGTGCTAGGGGGCATGCAGTTTGGGGTGCTGGTGGATGCTGTTTTGCGAGCTTGACGGCCGGTTCTAGGGGGCATGCAGTTTGGGGTGCTGGTGGGTGCTGCTTTGCGAGCTTGACGGCCGGGTGCTAGGGGGCATGCAGTTTGGGGTGCTGGTAGGTGCTGCTTTGCGAGCTTGACGGCCGGGTGCTAGGGGGCATGTTTGGGTGCTGGTGGATGCTGCTTTGCGAGCTTGACGGCCGGGCGGGGGGCTGCTGGTTTGCGAGCTGGCCGGCGAGCGACGGCCGGGTGCTCGGGGGCATGCAGTTTCGGGTGCTGGTGGATGCTGTTTTGCGAGCTTGACGGCTGGGTGCTGGGGGCATGCAGTTTGGGGTGCTGGTGGATGCTGTTTTGTTTTTCGAGCTGGCCGGGTGCTAGGGGCATGCAGTTTGGGGTGCTGGTGGATGCTGCTTTGTGAATTTGACGGCCGGGTGCTAAGGGGCATGCAGTTTGAGGCGCGGGTGGATGCTGCTTTGGTTGTACCGGGTGCTAGGGGGCATGTTTGGGGTGCTGGTGGATGCTGTTCGCGTGTAACGGTTCGTGGCTGGTGTATCGTCATGATGTTCCCACGTTATGGTGTGTGGGTGTAGTGGAGCCGTGATGCTGTCAACATCAGGATGATGCAGAATTTCATTAAGCTGTCGCGTTCGTGGCTGTGGTATCATCATGATGCTGCCTTTACCATCAGCATGATGCTGTTCGCATCACCATGATGCTGTCCGCATCATCATGATGCTGTCCGCATCATCATGATGCTGTCCGCATCATCATGATGCCGTCGAACTCATCAGGACCTCGTTTTTGCTTGTTCCTGCCGGATTGCTCTCAAAATCACTGATCTCATTAGGACGTTGTCTGCGCGTTTGTTTCGTGGCTGTGGTGTCATCATGGTCTACATCATCATGATAATGCTGCGTCATGGTTCGTATCCGTGGTGTGCTATCTGGGGTCTATGCTGGTGTAAAAATTTTTTGGGACCCAAATTTCAAAGGGGGGCTGGGTACGGAACGGACACAAAAAGGGGAACCCCAAAACCCCCTTATATTATAGGTTGCATGTAAAGCTCTTGTTGCCAACAACACTGGCCAACAACACAAGATTTCCAACTGAGAAACCTGCATAAACGGTTCATGGTCGCTCTCCTGGACCGCATATTGTGATGCGCCTTGTTGCCCCAACGCCGTTCAGTTCCTTTGATTCTTGGGCCACAAGCATGACTCCAGCTAGAAAAGTAGAACGCAGGGCAGCAGCCACCTTGCCAGAAAGGGACAACACACTTGAGTTCTGTATTTTGGGTGGACTCTTTGCAACAGGTTTGATTCTGACTCACCTTTGCGATGGGGTTGGAGGGTGTGTCGATCCGGTACAAGAGGGATGCACTCCTGTTTTTGGGCCCGTTTTTGCGACCCGTTTGCTTCCAAATTGGGGCCTCTGATCTTTGCACGGGGTGGGCCTTTCTGCCAAGGGGGTTGCAACGAATCAAAGGGCACCAAGCTCGCTTTTTCGGCCCCTTCTCAAGTTCTCCAAGTCCTTGTGTTGCACTCTTAGCCCCCTCTTGTCAAACAAAAACGCCGAACAGCTCCGCTCGCGAAAAGAAAAAACAACGCCCAAAGCAAACAAACAACTCCCAACATCGAACATCTCCGACAACTCTCCAAAACTCATGTTGCACGAAGGCCTCCCTCTTAACAAAAAACATTAACCAACTCCAACAACTCCCAGCCCGAGACAAAGGTTCAACAACCATGGTTGTTTGATGGTTTAGTGGTTGAAATCCAAATCCACTTGGCTGCGAAAGTTTGAATATTTTTGCTCCCCTTCCAACGTCAACCAAGCAACTCTGACCCGAAACGCGAAGCTAGGCCTCCGAGGAGTCATCCTATGGCGGCGCCTTCCAAAGCATGGCGGCGGGGCAGGCCCGGAGACGCGGAGAAGAGCTCGGCCGGCGCGTGCGTGCGTCCGAACCAGAAGAGACCAGAAAAAAGGGCCGTGGTGCTTGCGTATTTTTTCTTCCATTTCTTTTCTCCGAGTGTGCTATGTTTTTTTCTTTGCCGGAGTTGACCTCATTTTTTTAAACAAAATGTTTACAGGGATTGACACGCAGAGAGTTTTGGTTTCATGTTGGGCTTCTTCGCATATTTTGAGAAAATATCCCAAATGAGCTGGGCGGGAGGAGCAACCGGGATGTTTTGTTTTCCTTTTTCTTTCTTTTTTTGTGAAGCCCATTTGCTACGGGCAAATTCCCGCACCAGTTGGTAGGTGGTTTATGCCCAAATTCATTGGGTTCCTCCATCCGTCGTGGTGCGAAGTGGATTTTGTCCATCCACAGTATGACCCTGCTGAAACAGGGGGAGACGTTCCAGAACTCGTTTGTTTCCGCCTTTGTTTTCTTTGCATCGTCGAACCTGGTGCCTTGAGTACAAGGTTCCAAACCAGCACCCCCCTGATCCCATTTTTGTCGGTATGGTGGGATCTTCCGGTCACTGTTTGCAGCGCCACCAGGTTCAGACGAAAAGGAAAGCCACGGGAGTGGCGGCTGCCTATTGGCCGTTTTAGTGGGCGGTCCTACTACCTGGTCTTTTGGTGATTGTGATATGGCTTGCGTAAACCTCCTTAGCCATGTTAGTAGAACCAACCAACAGTCAATAGGTTGCTGGCGCTAACTGGGTGCCTCAAACAAACCGGTCGCAGTTGGACGACTGGTGATACCGTGGGTTGTTTTGGTCTAAGGTGTTAAAGGGACGTTTCACACGTTATTATATTTTGAGCATGTTTTGTCTTGGTTTTCAAGTTGCCCACAACCCTTATAGTATTGGGCGAAACTAGGTTTCCCATGGCCAGCAAACCAAGACTGCTTTAGCCTGGGGTTTGGAGATGGTTGATGAAGTTGGATACCTCCTTTGTTTGCGACATGTCTGGGGTGGGCAACACATGTGTAAACAACAAGGCCCTTTGTTTGCTTTCTAAGGGAAAGAAAGAGACTGGAACAAGCAGAGGAAGTCGCTGTAGTGGACACACGCCAGAACAAATTCCGAAAGGCGAAGCTTAGTATGGGGCTGATCCTACCCATAAATTGGAACATCCGCTTCTTTGATCCTTACATTTGACATGGATTTGGGTATCCCAAGTTTCTGTGCCGCTGTTCGGGCGTTTGCCACTTCAATCTGGGCCTGTCGCTTGTGTCACACTGCCCTACTGAAACAACCAGGTGTCCTCTTGGGTTCAAACATCAACAAAACCATTTGGGCCGATGAAACTGTGAATTTCTCGCTGACATGGTGATACTTGAAGGTACACACAAGTTCCCCTGAAATCAGCGGAACTTCAACGTCGCCAAAGGAGAAATCCACCGGTTTGATTGAGACCCCTAAGTAAAGCCTCCTGACCCCCACTCCAAATATCCACATTTTACAGCGCATGATGTCAATACCGACTAAAACAAGGAGGTATAAGCCTAGTTTCCAAAAATATGTCGCAAAAAGAGGGTCTGGTGGAGTGGGTGGGTTATTCTCCCGGTTGCCACCCCCACCCCCGGTTTTTACCAAGGGATCTTTACGCATTGCGGATAGGCAGCGCTGCAGACGGACCACCAGGAGCTGCGGAGGTTTATCGAGGAGCACACAAGCCCCTCAGCACATGGCTCATATGTCTGTGGGTCAACAATAGGTAACCCCAAAATGGCTTGCCCTGGTCAATGGAAACAATGACTAAAACCTGTGGTCCCTGGTGGTTTAGTTTTGACCCATAATATGGGCATGCTACACTTTCTCTGGTAGGTTTCAAAGGAAAGCAAAAGGACGACATCATTCAGGCATGTGAACCCCTAGGGCAATTAGGAAGCTGCCAATTCCCCAATTCCCCGAGACCAGGGCTTGTGGATTTCAAAAAAAGCACCCCGGCTGTGGTGACGCTTTCACGTTTTCCCCGGGTTTTGACTCAGTTCGGGGCTCGAAAGCTAGGGGTTCCCCTAGCGAGCCATGGCGATGCTGACGTACCAGCATACCTTCGTCACCTTGCGGCCCACGCGGTCCGAGCGGCCGCGGTGCCAGAGCCTTCCGCCCAAAGGACGCTCCTGGTCGCCGGCCAAGGACGCGCGCCGGGCGGATCGGAGTCTGGACGTTTGGGCGCAGGGCGTCGTGGTTGTTGTTGGGACACATTTTGCATTTTTGCTCATTGCGGTTTAACGTTTAGTGGTTGAAATCTATTGTGGTTGAAATCAAATTACTTAACAGCCTTTAAAACAAATAACATCTTTGCTCCCTTCCAACGTCAACCAAGGCGTGGGGCAAACCGTGGGCTTCGAGGTTGCCTTCGGTTCCAGGCGGGTGCCTGCGCCTGGGGGGCGGCCTGCCACTTCTGCCACCAGCCTCACCAGAAGCGGCAGAAGCTGGACCGGAACCAGCGCCAGGCAATGCGGAGCATGACCCAGAGGGAGGCTTTGCAGATGCTCGTGGAGAAGTTGGGCGAGAGGGCGGCGGCTACACAGCTGTCACTTCAGGTGCAGCCCATTCTGGACATCCTGCACGAGCAACTGGCCGAGACTCCGGAAGGCAGGCCTAGCCTGTCCCAAAGCCAGGGCCGCAACATCGCATGTGCCGTCTCCAAAATGAGCTGCCGCATGATGATCCAGGCGCTACTGCCGGCCAGTCGCCTGGAGGCGCCCCAGATTCGCCAGGTTCAGAGGCACCTGGAGGTGCTGAAGAGCCATCTGGCCCAGCAGGACTAAAAGCAAATGCCTTCATTTTTGGGTACAAGAAATGGGGCGTGTTCCACTTCCCAAGTCCCAAGTCTGATTCAGTTTGGGGGGGGGGGGGGACAAAATCGCATATTTACCGCTCGTGCGCCCTTGGATGAAGGCTTCACATTGACTCAGACGCAAGCGGCCACTGAGTCAATGGGACTTACCATTTGGCCGGCTTGCGCGATGGACCGCCGGACAATGTGTGGCAGCTCGCCGCCACAGTGACCAAATGATGTGGCGCATTATGGGCTGCAGTAGACTTGTGCTTTTTATGATATGCTTGAGTCGGTGGTAGAGCGCACACGGACGAGCGGCTCACGTTCGTCTCACTTGTCACCAAGCTGGGACGATTTTTTTTCTCGAGTCTCTCACGCGCACTGCGCTTGCTTTCAACGAGCCGAGTTTGCTTGGGTGCATTGGAGAAGTGGGGTTGGCAACGGAGCAGCGAGCAAAGAAAGCCTGATGCTTCCTTTTGGTCCAGAAGGTGTTTTGTTCATTGCAGGGCGATGTTTGTGCACTTTCTGGTTCTTTCAAAGCGCATGCCGGATAATGTTTTGCAGTTCGCCGTGACAGTGACCAAATGAAGTGGCGCAGCACGGGCTGCGCTAGATTTGTGTTTTCATGATGCTCCAAGCTCCGCACCCAATTCCACTGCAGTGCGGCAGGTTGTAGGCCAGCCGAGTCTCAGCTGTCCTGGCTTGGAGGTGCGTGCGCGCAGGAACAGTCACATGACGAAGTCGAGTTGATTGATTCTTTCCTCACGTTCGTCTCACTTGTGCCACCAAGCCGGGACACATTTTTTTCTTTCGAGTCTCTCACGCGCACTGCGCTTGCTGGCGACGAGCTCACTTTGCTCGGGCCCCGCTGCATTGGAGAAGTGGGGTTGGCAACGGAGCAGCGAGCAAAGACATGCCAGAAAGCTTGATGCTTATGGCTGGTCCAGAAGGTGCTTGTTCATTGTACAGTGATGTTTTTTTTTTGGGTTGGCAACTTTGGTGCGTCACTTTATGGTTCTTTCAGCGCGCATGTCGGATAATGTTTTGCATCTCGCCGCCACAGTGACAAAATGATGTGGCGCAACATGGGCTGCATTAGATTTGTGCTTTTTATGACCTGCTTGAGTCGGGTGTACACGAACGGCTCACGTTCGTCTCACTTGTCACCAAGCTGGGACGATTTTTTTTCTCGAGTCTCTCACGCGCACTGCGCTTGCTTTCAACGAGCCGAGTTTGCGGTGGGGAAGTGGGGTCGGCAATGAAGCAGCGAGCAAAGAAAGCTTGATGCTTCCTTTTGGTCCAGAAGGTGTTTGTTCATTGCAGGGCGATGTTTGCGGCACTTTATGGTCCTCTCAGAGCTCATGCCGGATAATGTTTTGCAGTTGGCCGTCACAGTGACCAAATGAAGTTGCGCAACACGGGCTGCGCTAGATTTGTGTTTTCATGATGCTCCAAGCTCCGCACCCAGTTCCACTGCAGTGCGGCAGGTTGTAGGCCAGCCGAGTCTTAGCTGTCCTGGCTTGGAGGTGCGCGCAGGAACAGTCACATGACGAAGTCGAGTTGATTGATTCTTTCCTCACGTTCGTCTCACTTGTGCCACCAAGCATAGACGGTCGATGTTCAAAATAAAATGGGGGGGGCCTGGGGTCTTGATACACGACCTCATTTTATTTGGCTCGGAGGGGTTGGGCCCCTCGAATCTATTTCAGTTTTAGGTTTTTTTCCGGGGGATGGCCAAGGGGCGGCTAAGGGGTCCAGGGTTTACGTGGGTCTGGGCCCCCCCCATTTTATTTCGTGGGAACATGGAGTATTTTCGCTTAGATGTGTCTAGGGGATTGCCTCGTTTGTTGCGAAGCTTTTGCCGGCATGGTCATGTTGGCTCCTGGTCCTTCTATCGTTCTGGCACACAACGCGAGCCTGGGCACGGAGCCTCAACTTGGGACAGGACTGGGAGGGCTCGAGTCAGCTCAAAGCCCCAAACCAGGGTTCAGGGGAGGCCTCGGGCTTCTCTCTATTTCTCTCTGCACGGAGAAGTTTAAAGCGCGTCCATGCTAGTGCTATTTGCGCACATTCGAGAACTTTGGCCTCGGAAGCAACTTTGATGTTAGTAGACCAAATGTTCGTTTGGGGAATCCGGTAAGCATACATACAACATGATGGGTACGACAAGTCCGACAAATTCACTCGACTTTTGACGAGGGAGCAAAACGCGCCAAATCACGCCTAGTCACTGTCGACACGTGACAGAGAGAGAGAGGGAGAGAGAGAGAGAGAGAGAGAGAGAGAGTGAGAGCGTGGCGCGGCGACGCGCCCCACAAAAAAAATGCATACATTTGGCCTCAGTGCATGTCAAAATTGGCCTCAGTCGATCCGGGAATTGCACGAAATCACGCTGGGGCAGGCTAACAGCCGGTATCAATAAAGTCATGGAGTCCGACAATTCTAACGTTGTCCTGAGAGGCCTACCAGGCCTACAAAGGCATGTTGGTAAATATGACACACGCGACCTTTGCTCGAAACAACGTCCAAGCCCCCCCCCCTCCAAACCCTGGCTTGGAGCCAAAGAAACATGCTGTCCGACGTCCCTCCAAAGTTCCAGCAGAGGACATGGGCTTATTGCTTTAGGAAAATTGAGTGCTGTTGTTTGTGAGTCCTCTTTGCTTTTTCCCATCCGTCGCTTAACAAATCTTGCTTTATGATTCCGCTACTCGCAAACCCCAGAAGAGAAATGAGGGGCCCTCTCCGGCAGTGCGGCATTCGCGCAGCCATTTTGGCTTCTTTTTTTTTGGTGCAGGGTGTTCACGCAGGGCGGGATGGAGGGGCCAACGGCTCCGTCCATCTGCGCTCGAAACCCAGTGGCTTGCGCGCAGCATTTCATTGCATGTTCGTCACCGTGGCCTTTCTTCGCTGAGGGCATTCGCGGCTGCACGGAGAGATGCGAGGGCATCCGCTGGGACGATGCCATGAAAGCGTGGCGTGTCCGGCGCCGACCTCGGACCTTGGTTATGTGCGCATTTCTTCACGCTTCTTCATCGTAGGCTTGCGCGCGCGTACGTCTGTATCGTGTCGGCATGTGCTTCAAGGTGTTGCTTGGAGACCGTCACAATGAGTGGCGCCACGCGCAAGTCGTGGCACGAAGCCTATGCGCGCCAACCTTAGACACGTGCTGGGTCCATGAAAGTGAGCTTTGTGTTTCTTTGGGTTCCCCAAATTACTTCGGGGGCGCAGATGCCTAAGGTTCGGGACGGGCTCGCCCTGGGTGTGGGCGACACGGCCTCCGAAGCAGTCCAGGGTGCTGGAGGAGAAGAAGGTATGGGAGGCAGGCTGAGTAGTGTCAGGTCACACTGAATGGCGTTGTTCTTGGCCGCTTCCTAGGCCACGCAAGCCAAGCAAACCAAGCAGGCTTGGTCGTTAGGTCGATCTTTCATCAGCACGATGTAGCTCTGCTCAACAGGCTTCAGATCTTGTGGCAGTTGCAGAGGCCAGGACCGAATTGCTTCCTTAGCACATACTCACAGTCTGTGGTTTTGCTGAGGAGTCCCCTGAGAAGGCAAGGAGGCCAGGCCGGCACGCGTCACCGAGCCCTTTCACGAGACTGGAGGCCAGGCCCTCGCACGCCAGTGTCCTTTTTGCTTGCTCACGCCTGGCCTGCTTGGAGACGCGCTGCAGTTCCTTGGGACCGGGCAAGACCCAGAGACACCTTGTCGCAGTGGACTTAGCAACCACTCTGCTGGCACAACACCCCCCCTTGACGAAGCTTCGCAGGGAAGTGGTTGATTTCAACGCACAGGCCCTTCCAAAGTGGGCTCGCACAACTTCAGCGGCGCATCGCCGAAGCAAGAACACGCTGCAGGCCTGCTTTGGACTTGCCATGTTGGTGGGCGTTTGCTTGTCGGAGCCCAGGTGCAAGCCAATCGTTTGTCCTTTCGAGAACCCTTGGCTGGGGTCGGCTTTCACCACCGCAGAGAACTTGACACCCCTGAATATATCCAGGTAAATGGGTGGCTGACTGGGTGCTCTAGACAGGTGGCTCCGTGGCAGAGAATGGCTTGGTCTCCGTTGGGCAAGAACAACCAGGCCTGCCATGGTTGGGTGGAGTGGTGGGTGGCTTCATTTCGGCTTCGCTGTGACCCAGTTTAGACCAAGTTGAGACCTCGTTGAGACCAAGTTGTCGTGGCCGCCTGGGGGGATGCGAGAATCTAGTTTGGGCGCACTTTGCAGAGGATGTCCCCAAAAGTCCTAAAAGTGCCACCTCATCGTTGTCAGGTTTGGGGGGCTTTGTTTAACGCGTCCCCCCCTGGTTTGACACGCCCTTTAGAGGGCCTGTTTTGACAGAAAAGGGACTCTCGTACTGACACACAGCTCGGGAAGCCAAGGGGGTTGGTGCCAGTCCCATTTGACTTTGGCGATGTCGATGGCCGGTCGTCCATCGACGCAAGCTGCCTACAGGGAAAAGTCATGACACGTACGAAATCGACAGTGCATCAGCCCCAAACTGTCGATGGCCGGTCGTCCGTCGACAATACCTGTCTACTGGGGGAGCGCTCGAGAACAGTTTTTTTTTAAAGCTGCTTCGCTGGGCTTGCCATGTTGGTGGGCGTTTGCTTGTCGGAGCCCAGGTGCAAGCCAATCGTTTGTCCTTTCGAGAACCCTTGGCTGGGGTCGGCTTTCACCACCGCAGAGAACTTGACACCCCTGAATATATCCAGGTAAATGGGTGGCTGACTGGGTGCTCTAGACAGGTGGCTCCGTGGCAGAGAATGGCTCGGTCTCCGTTGGGCAAGAACAACCAGGCCTGCCGTGGTTGGGTGGAGTGGTGGGTGGCTTCATTTCGGCTTCGCTGTGACCTCGTTGAGACCAAGTTGTCGTGGCCGCCTGGGGGGATGCGAGAATCTAGTTTGGGCGCGCTTTGCAGAGGATGCCCCCAAAAGTCCTAAAAGTGCCACCACATCGTTGTCAGGTTTGGGGGGCTTTGTTTAACGCGTCCCC